GCGGAGGCAGCCGCTTCCGCGGAGGCTTTCGCCTTCGCGATCGCTTTCTCGCGTATTTCAGCTCTGTATTTCGCATAGTCCAGGGCAGCACCTTCGGCCACAGCTGCCTGTACGACTTTACGAGCTATGGCGTAAGCTTCCGTTTGCAAAGAAGCCGCAGCTCTCGAAGAAACTATAGCCTGTTCGAGGGCAGCGCTCAAAGCGCTAGCTGCGGCTCTAGCGTTGGCGGAAGCGACTGCCTGGATAACGGTGGCCTTCTGAGCCGACAAAGCCTTAATGGCAGCCTTCGTTCGAGACATGGCCGCGATCCTGATCGATTTAGCAGCTTCTCTGGCAGCCACGCTCGCGGCTATAGAAGCTTCCACCGAGGTCTTCGCCTTTTCCTTTAGTTCTTCCGTGATTGCGATTTCCTCTTCGACGTTGGTACGAGTACGCGTGTCGAGGATGGAAATGAGTTTAGTCTGCAGTGCGGAACGAGCTTGTTGCTCCGCCTTCGCCTGCGCTTGTGCCTGTGCAGCTTCCTCGGTACTGGCCTTAGCTATTGCTCGAGCGGAAGCCAAAGCCTTGGATTCCGACGCGACCAATGCTTCTGCCTGTGCTCGAGCCTCTGCTTCTGCCTGAGCTTTAGCTTGCGCCTGTTTCAGGGCATTCAATTGAGACTTCAACAACTTTCGAGCTTCCGCTGCCTCCGCCTCGGCCTTCGCTCGTGCCTCCGCTTCCAACTTGATCCTAGCTTCCGCCTTCGACTTTTCTTCTTTAAGAAGCTCAATTTCCTCGTTGGAGGAACTCTGCGACTCATTGCCCACGCTGCTCCAGCTCCAGGTCTTAACCGGCCCTTTCTTCACGTACGTCTGAACAATTCGGTTCTGTTCGTCGCTGTTCGATTCCTCCTGGACGCCCTCCCAATTGGATTCGACTTTAGAACTCGATTCCTCGCTGATCTCAGCTCCGATAGATTTCTCCTTGGAAAGCGATCCATCGGCGATCAGAACTTCGCTGGAAGGTTCACTTCTTAATTTTGACGACGCTTTCTCTTCGCCGATGTCGAGTTTCTCATCCAACGCCGATAAAAGCGCTGCCGATGACGCCGCGTTTTTCGACGATGTTCGCGCAGACGAAGAGGAGAAACTCGACGCGAATGTCTCTCTGCTCGATGACGACTCTGCCTCGACTCGTTCCCCTGTCTTTCCATCGCTCTCGTACGAAAAACCATCCAACGTAGTCGGCAGTATGTACTTCACGTTCTCTACTTGGCCATCATTTTCCTGATTCTGTGCTTCGACGCCGCTCGCGAGTACGATTTCTTGGTTTATCAGCGTCCAGATGACGAAACAGGCGACGAATATCTTCATCGTCGATGGAGCGACCTGCATTGATGGACGTTTTCGCGATTCGTCAATTATATACCGTGGTGAACAGTTGTGAAAACAATGCCGGTAGTTGGATGACGTATCATGCTGATTGGAAAAATAGTATCTTCCATCGGAATTTTTAATTTCACATGAAATACATCGGTTTTTCTTTTTCCCTTTTTTTTTTTACTGTAGGACCACTTTCTTTCCAAGGATTCTACTTTGAGCGTTCATTAATGACAATATTTTCATAGCTTTTTTTAACATTCGTAATTTTCGTGTTCTATGAATTATCGAAGAATTCTTATATCGTAAGGGAAGCTTCGGACCTTCGTATTAACTTTTAGAATTTCTTTTAGCTTTCTTTTTACGAAAGTCCCCGAAGAATGATAGGAGCTGAGAGATTTTATTGACCCGTCAGCGAGACTGAGCAGCAGTTCGTCGCTTGAAGAGCTCTGCAGCGGAAACCTGTACGTGTTTTATCATATACTGCCCCGAAGTCTCTCACTTCCTTAAATAAAGCTCCGTGTAATAACAGTGTGTGCAGACGTGTGCAGTCCCTCGCCCCACTACCATAAATCTGTAGTGTCGCCTTCTTTTAACACCCACACGTTGTATTTTCTTTCTTGCGTGTCGTATAAATTTCTCGACGAAGACGTCGAATAAATACAAATTTCTAAAAAGAGAATGACGTCAACGATTTCTTCTCGTAGCTGATAACGGAAGCTTCGGGAAGAACTGAGAAAGATCCACAGAATTGCATTAACACCTTCCTCACGAGAATCACACGCGAAGCACGCGGGAGAAACATCTCTGTTCAAAATGATCTTCATATTTATCAGAAATTGAGGAAAAACAGCCATAACACTTTCAATCGCGTCGCTTATATAGATCTACGTCGTTTACCTTCGGTTTGGGAGTGGGAGTTCTCCTCTTCGATTTATTGAAATATTTATCAGTAGACTACGAATTTCTATGCGTCTTTTGGAAAAATTTGGAAAAATTTAGAGACGCGAGGATGCATATAGAATACGCATAATACGCAAAAATATATAAAATATCCAAAGTAGGTGTACCGTTTGTAATGCTTAAAACGGATAAAACAATTTCTCACCCACGTTGCAATTTTTTAGTCATATTCGCAAAAAAAATGAGTTCGCATATGTATCTACATATCTCTGTTTATCGCGTCAGCGACGATTCGTCAAATAAGAATTTTCGATAGATATTTGCATTTGAAGACAATTACATGCTAGACGTAGTACATGTGCTCGCATTTCGTTGAAAATTTCCATTCGTTTTTTAGTCTATGATTAAGTAATAATATGTAACATTTTTTTCTTAAAGAAAACACGCATCGGCTGCTTGAGTCGCTATAGTCATCCATCGTGGTGCGAAACATTGTCGTAAATCCGGAATGTCAGGTTCAACTCGTGTTGCAACCGGTTATCTGCTGCGAGGTTTAGTAACATCGACAATGCGCTCTCAAGTATTCCAGAGAAGGTGGCTGTTGTCGAAGGTTGAGCTAAAGAATCGAACCAGATCGTATTGTTGATTACGATTTATTAAGTGGACCCCGATCACGCCTGCGGTCGCTATTGTAACATTATATCGCTAGGGAAACAAGACGACTTGCTTTGCGATCTTAAGTAGTTTCGAAATTGCTCTAATTCAAATATTGCGGTAATTGTGGCAGTAGCGTATACAACGATATACAATAGAATTCGTATAAACATTTCTATAGAAATGAGATGTCCTGTTATTTTGCTATTTCGAAAGTAAGGGGAAAACTGGATTTTTATAATATCCTTTGATATTGCGCTACGAGGAACACATAAATGTGCTTTCGTGCCGGATATACGGATGATGTAATTGTTTTAGAGTTCCGTAACCGGATATCGTTGCATCGTAACACATATGTGAATAACGTTCCGATCTAGTTAAATTATACCAGTGCATATATGCAGACAAATGTACAAACACCTGTCAAATCTCTTATTTCGTCGTTAATGTGCTTACATATATTCGCTTAAGTGCACGGTGCACTACCTAAGATATAGTACATATGACTAAATGTCTCGTCGGTGAAAGGGAACTTCGGTTTGGCGGATTTATAACGCATAAAATTCTAGGATTTATACGAACTTTTTGCGCCAACGATTTGCTCCGCTCGACATTATTCATACATAACGAACCGCTTATTTTTATACGGATATCTTTAACAATCGGAAACAGCAGAAGGATATTAAAGACTTTTTTTTATATTTCTTTCATTTATAAGCCTTTCATTTATTAGTAAAAAGACTTATTAAGTCACCAACAACTTATTTTAAAAAGAAATAACGAGTGAACAAGAAGGTTCAACGTTTTCTAAAGTTTCTAAAGTTTTCTAAATTTCTATTATTTTTTAGATATTTAGATGGAACTTCGCGATTGACGACCGTTGTCGACCGGAAATTCAGCTGAATCAGGATTAAGTGCAGATTTTCGCGTACTATGTGCATTCTTTAAATTTCCCAGAAATGCATAAAAGTTCATAATCTGTATATTAGTGTATCAGAAGTAACGATCATTTGATCGAGGATACTCGACACTGTCGTTGGCGATGGATGATTCGCTTCGTACATTAAACGGCCGTATCTTATTACAGAGCACGAAGACCTTATCGTCGGCATAGAAAACTGGGACAACCGCTGTACATTATCTAGCCAAACGAGAAGCCTTCTAAAATTTTCTCGTACCGCGCGGAACCTAACGTAGATATGCGTCATACGCGGTCTGCCGTCCTCGTCGCCGATCGTGAAAAGGTGAAAGCAGATAGCGTGGAATAATCCTCCAATACTCACGACTATTTTCGTTTCTTCTCTTTCCATTAGAGACGAAAGGTTTGCACTCTGCAGACGAGAAGACGCCGCGTGAAATCGTAAGTCACGATAATCCGCATTTAGCAATGCGCGTTAGAAGCGACGTGTGTTGGTTTTAAATGTGTACCGTATATTCTGATAAGAAACGAACGTGTCGTTGTTAGAACGAAGCAATGATAAGGGAAAAAGAATGAAAGAGGAAGAGAAATACTGAGGAGATGTTTGAAAGAATGAAAAGGAGATTATGAAATATATCGAACAATATACAAAAACGCTAAATTGTGTAACAAATTGTTTTTATTGGGATGTAAAGAATATCCTTACGTTATCGATATGATTTACTATTTTCGTAGATGCGTAAGAAGCATGATATCGTACCTGAGAATTCATTTAACTGACTAGTATAATACATACTTCTCCTCGTCCAACATTTTAAATAATTACTCACTGTTTCTTTATTTAAGAATTGTCATATCTTTGTTTACTAATTCATTTTTCGCGATACACAATTGAAGTTTACTGTTGTCAGACAGAAATATTGCGTCAACTGAGGAAACTTCCCTTGAACTTTATTAGTATCATTATCTGTTATTGGCCACATTAATTGCCTTGGCAATTAATTGCAATGACTGATAATTCTGTAAAATTTAATAATTTCGTAGCGCAAAGCCAAGAAGCGGACACCGGATAATTTCGTATTTTTGCAATCGAGCGACTCATCATTTGACCAGGGGTCGACGTTTGTCAACGTTGTGTCAACAACACATCGCGTTCTACATCGCATCGAGAAACTACAGTGTTGCAATGGTCCGTGGTGTAGCCCTCTCTATTGCGCCAGCCATCCAGTTAAAATCGTGCCCATCCTCTTCCGGTTCACCTTCTCTCCTCGGTGCTCTTTTCACTGCAGATGTTTGACACGTTTCCTGGACAATGATGAATATACTGTTGCGAGTCGTTGTCATCGTATTTGTCGTCATTTTGCTTGATCTTGTAAATTATGTATCTACTAATAAAATTGCAGAGATCGTAATCTCTTGCTTCAATTAAATCTTAATTTCTATAAGAAATTTTTTATACAGATTTGATTCACGCATATTGAGCGAATTCTATTACACTTCTCTATTATTCATTTCTTGAGAAATTCCATTTACATTTATTTCCTAAGGAATTTCTCTTTCTCTGATATTCGTTTCCTGAGAAACTTTGTATAGAATTAAACCTAGTGAAAATGTGTTGAAAAATATATTTGAGGTTTCAGGGAAACGTCCTGCATAAATGAAACGCCGACTAGAATACCTACGATATAACACGGCTATATTCCGTTATCTCATGTTTTCATTCATTCTACAGGCGTTAAATCATTTAACCACTTCGAGCAACACATTACGCTTCTACTGCTTAATAGGTTTCTTCATTATATCACGCGCGCTATACCTTATGAACAAAGAAAGCGCAGCAAAAGATCAAAATTTCTAATGCTGTAGTTGTAATTCAATTCCGTGGAGTCATAATTCATTAAACGGCGCACGAAACGGAAGCCTAGTAAAGAAACGAACTTCCAGGAACATAACTATACTGGGACTAATACGCTCGCGGTAATTAAATGCAATTCGATCTTTCTAAATCTTTCTAATCTAAATCTTTCGAGCGTATCTTTCTTATCCAATCGCGAGAAATCTATCGCAAATAAAAAATGCACCTGCACAGATTACGATAAAATACATCATTTTCTGTGGAATAGAACGAACAACAACTAAACTTTCCCACGAGATATTTTTCTGTTCTTCAATGTCAGGAAGATATAACAGCTGAAGGATAAAACCATTCCACTCTTATTATTTCTACTGCCAAGGCTGCGCCTTTGATGATACGTATTACTTTACTTGGAATGACCATTAGTATTTCTAATTTTCTAACGTTAGTAATTAATTTAGACATCATTAGTAATTCACTTTCACGTTCATTTGTGAATCATTGGTTTAAACACAACACTTGATTTCTTAAAAAAAAAAAGAAATAAAAAAGGAGATAGTTTAGTAAAAAAGTAAATATTGTCTAATTAAAAACACTGTAATGAACCATCTGTACATTAGCCATGAAAGTATCGGTACTGTTAGAAATATCCATCGTGTCCGTTGCATCGGAACCAAACGCTACAGTGTCGAAACGACATTGTTCTTCAAAATGAATTCGTAGGACAATCCGTAGGCAATTAAGAAGCGGGGTCCGTAACTGCAACGTTAATTTTCTGACCACCAATCAAGCACTCTATAGTCATGTAACTTGCCCTTGGCATAATTCGGATTGTATTATTACATTCATTGTTAGACTCTGAGAAACTTCTCAAGTTACTCATGACAGGGGCTCTAATAATGTGTCGGAACCATTGTCAGTCCTCCCTCATTGGCATATGCAATTAATAACGTCATGTTAGTGACAATAAGAAGTGCATCTAACTCCAAACCAGCAAACGTATATACATATTTGGTATCTGACCAAAATTAAACGATAAAATCTCATACCAAAGCGTTTGTTGTTCTGTTACATGAGTCAGATTTTATTTTGGTAAGATCTAGCCTTCTCTAATGGTGTTTGATGGAAAATTACATTAATCAAAATCGTGAAATGTTAGTTGAAGCTTTACTCCTGTTAGTGGGTATCATATATACAGTGAAAGTTACTTTTACTAAACAGGTGTCGAAAATTTTTTCAGGCCAAACATCTCATAAGCCATAGTAAAAGAGATTAATGTATTTATTCAATCGAATATATACATATATTTACATGCTAAATACATACGTAATGTTACTCTGATTTCCAAAATGAAAATACTATTTCAATTTTCCCTGATAAAAGTTAGACATAGGCGACTACGTACGTGAAGATCGAGTCTCCTTTTTTGTAATGTTACATATTAGAACTTAAAATAATTTCTAAACTAATGGAAAGAAGTTGTTAAATAAGTGTAAGTAAAAGATTATTATAAAGTAGATTATAATTTAATTATACAGATTTTTCGTATGGCGTCACACATATCATTGACTTTTGTTATGTACACGCAAAATAATTGCTAATTGATTTTAAATATTATTAACAGTACACAACAAGTTTAGCAAGAAGAATTTTCTTTGTCCTAGTCCAAATTAAATTTAACAAAAACTAGACTTATAAATTAACGTTTCTTCAAAAGCATTAAAAACAAATTTATGTTCATTCGATTGAATTATGAACAAAATATGCATTATTTATGCAAATATATACTTGAACATAAGTTGAATATTTATTTATTAAATATTTTCGTTAATGTCTTCTATACATATTTAATATAATTACAATCAAAAATAAAACTTAGATACAAATAAATACATATGATATTAGATAATGATTAAAACTGAAATAGAATTTATCTTATACCATCTTGATCTGATTGTGAATTTCAATTCCTAACTTATTGTAACTTTGCCTTGTTATAATTTTTTTCTAATTCCAATATTCGCGATACAATAGTTACCCATAAGAAATATTCAGATTCTTAAATAAAATTGTGATAAGAAATCTTTCTAATAAAAAGATGGAAGATAAATAATGCATATTAATAAATAAGGCAGATGTGCGTAAGCTGCGTATTTGAAAACGAAATTGAGTGGACATTTTTGATTTACATTTACTAATTTTTTATTATTTAAATTAGTAGAAAAGAGTAATTATATCAAGCATTTTATATTTATACTTAATATTTAATATCTACTTGAAATGGATTTAATTATATCGTACAGAATTAAATCTCTATTACACGTGTAACAAAATTGCTACAATTACGTGTAATTTTATGTGACTTAATCTTAATCATTTAAAAAATGTACATATTTTATAGTTACATTATTGGAAATGTTATGAAAAAGTCCCGACTTTATTACAAAATAGTTGCACAGATGAAGAAATGATGTATATTAAATATAAGAAACATGAATAACTAGTAACTTTCGATAATTTATTTTTCTGTCATACAATGAAAATGATATCTATTTATATATTTAGTGACTAACATATAATTCAATTTCATATTTCATAGATTAGATAAATAAGATGAAATAATTTAACCAAGAATATATATGTATGTATTATTTACATATTTATAGTCTGTTACCTTATGCTATTTATTAATAGTTATCAGATATTTGAGAAATATTAATAGAGAAACGCTTATATAACTTAAGTTTCCATTCTTCTCAAATTATATCAAATGATCCAATATGAAATTTCCATGTCTAGTAGGATATAAAATTTAGCACTTGTTGCATTGATTTATAAATTTGTAATGAAAACAAGTATGTAGAGTACACCAATCAATATAGATAATCACAGAGAACAAAATTTATTTCCATCACTAATGAATATATTGCAATTTAACACAGACATCGTACACTAGTCACTCACATCCTATTTTGTCATCCTAGAAGACTTATTATACATATTTTCTTTTTCTTTAATACATCATCTCTTCTATCTTATATAACATTAATTTTGAATGATACAATTACCTTGAAGGAACGGTGAATATCAACTTTATTCAGTAAGTGTAAATCGCTCATGCCAAATATGAGTTCTGTGCTGTACTGTTAATATAGGACTAAGAATACGTTCTATAGAATTTATTCGGCCTCTAAATCGGTCTCTATCTCTCGCCATTTCTTCCCATGGACCTTTTCGAGCTGCACGGTATGCATAGTCCCAATGCACCATTATATGAATTACTGGATTCAAATTAAATTTTACCTATAATAAAAATTTTACAATAAAAGTTTTAATAAGCGGTAATTCACAAAATTGTAATAGAAAAAGTTTAAGTTGTAAACGATTAATTACTTTTTGAATCGGAGATACAGATATTTCATCTTTGAATATTTTTTCATCTTCGTTTGTTTGATCTACATCGCTCTCTTCACTGTCTTCGCTATATTCAACATCACTTTTGCAAGTTACTTCGGAACCAGTCTCAAATACTATGCAGTAACTATCTTCTGAGTCAATAGAACTTTCTGATATTAAACGTGGTCGAAATGTATTCTTTTGCAAATCGTATCTGTTTTCAACAAAATTGTGATCAAAGGTATCTGTTTGTTCTGGATATTCTAGTATACTTCTCATTTTTGCAGAAAATCTAGATATACCACAATTAATGTTTCTACATATTTTTTGTTTCTGAATTTTGGGCTCTACATCGGCAAACGTATATGTTAGAGGACTCACTGTCTCTTCTATAATATATTGTACAGTATCTACTGTAGCTTCACCTAAATATAAATTTCCTGATTCTTCTGTTTTCTGAATTTCTGTTATATCATATTCTTCAAGTTCTTGCCAGCATTTAAAATCGTTTTCTATATCTACTCTAATATCATGTTTAGTACGTTCCTTTCTGTGTCTCGTTTGGCTGACTCCAGAACGCCTAAGCTGCGACTTTGCTCGTCCCCGTCCTCGACCTTTTGCCACTATATTAAGTTTCCTCCGTTGCCTCGGTGAGAATGATCGTTTTGGACCTAAGTCTGATTCAACAAGGTCTGTTTTACAAAATCTATCTGTTACACTGCTAATGACTTTTTGCAACATATTTGTGAACAAATTAGGGACTGCAGTTTGTTGAACTATCTGTGTATTTAATGCATTTGTACTAGGTGTTGAACAAGAGTTTTCCTTATTTATAATAATCTTATCATCCACACTGTTACTAATGCAATTAAAACATTGTTTTTTATCGGACATATTCTTACTGTATGTGTCTTCAAAATTATAACAATTTTCCATAGCACTCATTTCCTTCGTGTTTATATCAGAACAAATGTATTCAAACAATTCCTCCTTACTTGTTTTGTTCGAATTTTGAAGTGATATTAAATAATTACAATTATTTGTATTACATCTAACATCTTTATGAATGACTGATTGCTTTTCATCAGATCTCTCTGCATCTTTGTTCTTGATACCAATATATTCATAACTAAATTTTAAATTATCTTTTGTATTTTTATTAAAAATTTTGCATATGTATGATTTTTTTTCATCAAATACATCATTATGAATACTCTCGACAACATCTAAAGATTCTTTGATCTCGCCATTGGAGATGTACACATTATCGGTATTTAATGGTTCTCTTTTACCTGTCAGATTCTTAAAAAAGTCGTGTGAAATTTCATTATTTACAACTGTTACAGACAATGGATAATTAATACTTGCTATGAATGAAGCAGGAACTTTAGAAAATTGTCCCCAAAGTACGTTCAAAGCGTTGAGGACACTGTGAAACATGTTTTCTTTCTTTGGGCTATGCATGTTTGTGTGTCCATTCAATGTATCGTTCATCGAATACATTTTTTCCATTGTTGTATCTGCAGGTAAACTCTGCATAGAACACATGCTTAACAATGAAGCAAAATTTCTGCTAAAAAAAAACATTGAATTTAAAAGACAAACTCAGATTTTTGAAATATCATATGATATATATTTAATTATACATACATTATTCAACACAATGGTACTTTTCGACAACCTCTTCCTGTTCTCATAAATCTTCTTTGTTTAGCTGCAAAATCAAATTTAGCATTTTAGAAATATTGATTAAAAATGGTTTGTTAACTGTAAAAGCAATAATATTATAGTTATCTTTCATAGTTAGCAAACCATTTTTAAATAGTGTTTCTAAAATGCTAAAAGCTGCTAATTATTAATAAATAAATTTAAACTTGATAATAACATGACAAAATGACAATATGTCAAATTTTGCAAATTATCAAATGTTTTCTAAAACTTTACAAGAAAACATTCGATAATCATGATCGTTAGATTTTCAATAAATTATGTATGTTAATTTCCAATGTAAAAAGGAATTCATATTTTATAATATATGTAATTTTATTATTTCGATACTCAATATTTAATTAATTGACAAAAAGTGTCATTTTTGCATTTTCAAAAACACGCTTGAAATTAATATATATAACGTTTATAATCACGATAGGGACATTGTGAATTTATCGCGCACACTCCAAATATTAATTAAGATAATAGATTATTAAATAACGGCATATCCAAATTTGAAGAATTACTCAGATTACTTCCGTATGATCATAACGGCATCATTATAATTTTAATATTAAACATGATAAAACTATTTTACAAGATATTATTTTCTTTCACTCAACATACAACAAAGATAGCCTCCACAATCGCGACAACCACAATCACGTAGGATATTTTGTTCGCAATATGACAACTGATTTTTTCCTGTACCACACTTTCTATGCTTTAACAATGGATATTCGATAAACTTCGTTACTTCAGCTACAATATTTCGCTTTAATTCTTTAATAATTCCGGAGGGTTCCATTGTAAAATGACGCATTATTATAACACACATTTGAACTATAACTTCTAAGCGGCCATTTTCAACTGGTTACTGCATGGGTCATTTATAACTCATTTATCACAGGGGCGCTGTCTGTCACAACAATTCACATTTAGACTATCAATTCACGAAAGATAAAAGTCTATAAGTAAATCCAATTCTGCAAAATATGTCCTTGATAACATCTGATATTGGAAAATAACATATGCATTTTATTTATATTTTATTTATTATTGATTACACTTAAATATTAAAAACAAACCATACTATGTAATCATTCATTTCAAACAAGTATGCATCATAATAAACTGATTCATCATACTTTGATGCAATCTCTGACTTTTCGCAGAAAATTGTAGTTGGTTTCGTACTTGATGCAAACTAGGAAATATATGTGCTCATCTTATGTAAACAATTGTAATATAATAAGATGTAAAAAAATTCCGAAAATACGTTTGAATTAGCTCTTATTTGAAATGCTTTTTGCTGATACTTATCTCTAATGGCATTAGAATGTATTCTTCATAAGAATAATAAATTTATAATTGTAATTTATTTTACATTAAATGCGTACGATTGACATAAAAATAGTATAGAATATACAATTTACTATCCCAAAAAGTTATTTATAAGTACTGCAATCCAAGCCCGAATTGAAATTGTTGCAATACATCGCTTCTGACAAATAACAAAGGCATAACTAAATTTAATTCTACTCTCGCTATATTTCCAAGTTTCATCGCAATACCCCCTCCAACTGCACAACGAACATTTTCCTTAAAAATTTTCATATTTTCCTTATAATCATTTGCTGCAAATAACAAAAAATTACTTATTTTTGTAACTTCACAGATGATTGAAAATAGAGATAAAAAAAGATATTTCAAAATTTTTAATGTCATACCAAATTTGAAAGTGAAATTTGATACATTTCCACCATTGATGAAACCATGTAACTTGAACAAATCACCGAAACCGTGACGACCGGGTCTAAATGGCAGTGGTGTGTATAAATGAAGCGCAAGTGCCCAATATACATCGCCTCCAATTGAATTTCCATCGTGGCGAGGTCCACAACCTCTCATATCGAATCCTCTAAGATTCAATGGTCCACCCAAGAAAAATTGATCGGCGATATTTATTTTCATATCATTGCTGATTCCTCGAAGCAATCCAGATTGAAAACCCAGCTGAAAGGTCTAATAAAATTTCTATAATCAGACAAATTGTATAGAAGATAAATCATTCAAAAGTCTAATCTAGTTCTGAGTTAAAAAATACTTGCTGCATATTCATGAGGCGTCCAATTAGTTTGCATGATAAGTTCATTTTTAACAAATCCAATATCTCCTCCGAGACCAGCTACTTCTGTTGAAAATTGTACGAGACTTCCCGTAGTAGGAAATATTAACGAGTCTCTTTTATCGATGGAACAAATATGTCGCAGTGCAGATTTCAAATTTGGACCACATTGTTCCCTAACGCGAAACGACGCTTGTTTGGACGAAATAATCTCCCTATATGTAGCTTCATATTGTAAATTATGCTTCAGTATACTTGCTCCATCTGTGTTAAAAGCAATATCTAATAATAAACCTTTATCACATTGACTAAAACCAGACCATGGGAACCTATTTGATGTGTTAAACACACTGCCAGTTAATCTGTAAAAAAAGTTAATATATATATTAACTGTAATTTATAACATTAATATTTAAAATGGAACAATTTTACATACACTTTATGAGGCCAACTGCCTATAAATGGTTTAACAGCAGATATACTTATATTAGTTGAACTTTTTGAACCATAAGAGTATTCCATCTGAAGACGTTCTCCTCTTCCAAATAAATTGGGTGCTTTTGCTTGAATAATAACTGAACCCTCATTATTTCCAACCATAGTGCTAATTCCACCTGTTAGACGTCTCATTTCATGTACCATAAAAGTGACCTGAAAAAGAACATGATTTAAAGTCTCTCATACAAATATAAGCTAACTTTTAGAGAAATGATTCATGAGTGAACTGGAATGAATTAAATCTGAGAAATTACTTATTTTTTGTTGAATTAGTGTGTAATTATATAGACCCACTTCAACGCCTTCTGGGGTAGCATGAGGACCTTGACTGGTATCAATGTAAATTCCAATATTCCCAAAACATCCTAAACCTTGCAATTTTTCTCTCACTTTATAGGCGCGTAAAATAATATCATAAAAATCTTCAGCTTTAAACAATTCTGTTACTTGGGCTTTTATTATGTCATCTTTTGTTCTCATGAGTCCATCTACATGTATTCTATCAACTCTTGCCTAGTTTACAAAATATCAAGACTTAGAAATTAGTAATTTATATAAATAAAACAAATGTTTTATGTTTATATTAATGAGTGTACCTTCACTGAATGAAGATCAATGGATTTCTCTTTCCTTTTTTCAAGTAAATTCATCTTCTCACGAATGTGTGAAGACTAAGGAAGATCGTTAATCATGAAAAATATATTTAAAATATTGAATCTATATTGGATAAATTTTAAGTCAAAATATATGTATATTACTTACAGGATTATCTTTTTTGAAATTTTGTCTTTCATTATTTGAAGATTCGTTTATATTTCTAAACATATTTGATTCCTGAAATGACAAAACACGCGAAACGTTAACGGACAAAATTTAATTAAATAGTAACTTGCAAAAATTCACTAAATGTACAATGACAACCTGTATAATAAAGAAAGGAATGCTCAAATTTAATAGAACATTTAGCACAATTATTAAATTTAAAATAAAGACGTTAAAAATTATTATTAGAAATTACTCATGCAGCAAATTAATGGTTTTAATTTTAGGTTATTCTGTAATTTTCTAATAATAAGCGTGTACCTTCGCATGAACAGTTCCCATTTTTGTTAGAAATTAATTTTTACTATTTGCATAAGAATTCACATTAAAATCATGTAATAAATTATGTCAGATCTCTTTTAATGTTTAGTAAAAAATAAATGTAAATTTTTTTAAATCAAATAATCGGAATGACTGAGAATAGGGTAATGTGGTATTCTCAATACCGGTTCTATGATATCGCCCTCTGCAATACAATACTTTTGATAATAGAATAATAATAAAATTATATCACTTTAAACTTACAAAATTCAAAATTTTCATTATATATATGAAAATGTTTATTTACTTTAATTCAAGATTTTATTTATTTTAATTGCCTTTTATATTATTTGAAGGCTCTTTATTTTAGTTACACATGTATGATGTAAAAATTGCATACATTCATAAAAGTATTACATATTTATCCTTATTAAATATAGTAACTGTATCAAAATGTATATTTTAATTGTATATATTTAAAAATATTACAAAGTTTATGAAAATTATGGGAAAATTTTGTAATCAAGTAGAGGTAGATGTTACTATAATATCAACAATACACATTATCATAATATTGAGAAACCTCATTGTTACTTAACAGTTAATAGTTAATTGCTATATTGTGCATAAATGTAGAATAATTAATTCATTCTTAAGAAGTAAATCCATATATTAGAATATAATATCGCTTACAGGAACTTTTAGAAGAAGCTTTATCAGTTATGTTTATGGAATTAAACTTTGAAATAATACAATAACAAAAATGTAATTTATGAAAGATGCAATAATAAGTGAATAAATAAATTACATTACTACACGCATTTTTCTGGATTAAATATATAATTTGGCATAAAAGATAAAAAAAGACAGAATAATGTAATATATTCATATATGTATGTCTTTAAATTAGGTCATGAGTCTTCATTTTCATTTGTTAGGAACAATAGTATAAGATCCATATACATACACATACATATTTTAACAGAGATATAAAATATCAAAATTTATTATAATAAAAATACTTCCTTCTTTTTAAATAATTATTCATAAAAATATATGACAGCTTCAATATCAACATATATATAAATTATTATCATATATATCTAAATATCATCTTTCTTATTTTTCTTTATTATTAATATTAGTTATACTTTTTATATATTTCTATTAAATAATTTTTTCAAACACATTCATTTGGAAATCAGATTAATGAAACCAATATATGTAGGTGTGACTAGCATCACAGTTATTACTTTCTATTGATTTCGTTAATTTGGTCTGCAAAATGGTTATAACGCGGCAGGACCAACTCGTGAATGTGTACTAGTCGGTGATACAGGACTTCCATGAACTTCTAAATCAAATTCAGAATTAGATAAACTATTTCTTATGACTCTGTTCCATCGATTCGTGTTTTCATTTAATGTAATATGTTGATTTGTTTCTACATCATTAGCGGAACTCTCACGAGCACGAAGTGCTTCTTGTTGAATAATTATTTCATTAGTTATATACGTCTCGCGTCGAATTTTATCCCTTAACTTTGGATGGATATCGGGGATACACCATCGCACGAATATCATGACCAAAGCAACAACATTCTGGAAAAGATTGATTTTGTTAGTTGTTAAAGTTGATTTTTGAATTTAAATTTGCATTGATGATATAACAATACCTCAAATACAACAATAAAAGCAAGTCTCGCTGCAAGTACGTGCCAAAACATAATTGTATATTGATATTTGTTTGGCGATTCAGGAGGTTCCCTATAATCTGGATATCTACATATTTCAACCTGCTCGTGAGAAGGTAAAAATGGTTCAGTACCATTTTTTAAGTCACTTGTATTAAATTTGGAGAGAGAATGATCTAGAAATCCTTCCAGAGAATAATTATCAGAGACAGTTATTCGATAAACTAGTCTTGGTATAAAATTAGAAGTAAAAGCTATAATGAATGCCTAAAAAGTTCAAATTATGAGTATAAAAAAATTATATATTGTTTACATAGAATACTTTATAGATAGATACAAACTTACATTAGTTATAACTGATAACTTAGAAATAGAATCAAGAATACGGAACCATATGCCTATATCTGTAACACGTTGTCCAACTGGCCTTCTGTACATTGTCAATAACTTTTTGGCATCTAATCTCATTTCAAAAACGTTATTCAACAGTGCAAAAAATGGTGCTAACGGAAATGCAGCAACAAAGATAGTAACAAATCCATATTGTAACACTGTAATATATAAAATATTAAAATTTAAATAGGCAATATAAATATATATATCTAGCTTTAAAAATATAATACCGCTACCCATTTCTAAATACTCAGGAAATAAACTTCTTGGACCCCAGTCCACCAATTTATAATCCTTAATCCATTGAAGATATTTCCGAGTAGTAACTTTTTTCTGCCCATCTTTTGTCTTCATCCCAACATGTACTTTTAAAGTATTTAACCATTTGTAAAATAGTGGAAACAACATTTCTAATATTGTATTCATAGCCTGCTTGCCAATCATGATAATGCTTAATTGTATGCATAATTCCATAAGGCAGCCACCAGGGCCACATTCTTCTTGTCGATATTCGAAAAAGCGATTATAATTTCCCGGATAACCAACGAATTTTCCTTTAAAAAATGCTATATAAAATATGGAAGCATAGTAATTAACAAATTCGAGTAAATATATTTTTAATGTTAAACTATCATCAAATTCAGTTTGAGTTCGAAGCAGTTCAATCTGTAAGAATAAAAAGAAAAATTTAGTATTTTTAAAAACGGAGGAAAAGATATATCGTTATTATGATATTAAAGTACTTCGGTTAAATATTCAGCTAACCAAACATAGACCCAATTAAATACTATAATGCAGCACAAATTAATGCTAGCTGCAGTAGCTGTTGTAAATAATATTGCATAACTTGTTACCATAGGATGTCCATAAACACTTAAGGCGGTTAAAACAGACATTCTATATAAAACAACACCTAACACTGCAGCCATTGCTATTGCAATCTATAATTTAAAACATAAATAAAAAGCAAATTTTTTGAAAAGAAATCGTAATTATTAAATTCATTTCTTTTTTATATTCTATATTTACAAACCAGCAATAAAACGACGGAAAAACTGAGAATTGTAGCAGGAACTCTCATTTTCCAAAAGGGAACTTTCGGTTCTTCGGTATTTGTAATAATATTGAGCGATTTCTTTTTTATATGTGCTAAACGTGCTAAGTACTGAGGACGAGGATGTTCCTCTTGAGCATCTAAACCAGTTAAATCCCATCTGTGAGTTATTTCTGCTGAATACCTCTTCCACAATTCCAAAAACAATGTAGCTAATAAAATATAATAAAAATAATAATGAAATTTACATTGTGCATGTGTATAGCTATTAAAAATACTATTACATACCCCATAATGACATAAATATAGAAAAAAACACGGTTGATGGATTATCAAACAAATACGTAATTCTTGCATGTAAGCACGTTTCCTTTAAATCCCAATATCCACAAAAATGATCACATAAGGGACACATTTGAATGATACCCTTACCATTACAAACATCTTCGCTTGGTTCGTTAGAATACAAAGTCGCGCAACTGTATATGAAGCATAAAAGGCCTACGATACTAGCAGGTATCAGCATATGTGTATAAAATCCGAGCCAAGCAAAATAAAGTCCAATTTTTACTCCAAAATATTCTTTGATATAATCCAATGGTTGATAGTGAAGACATTTTTTTAAACATGCCCATTCTTTGTACAAAAGATACCTCATAGAATCTGGTGCTTGTAAATCCCCCTGAAAATAAGAAAAAATTTTATTAATTAAAATATGTCCTAAATAAATTTTTATCTGAATTATATCTAAATTTGTTTGAAATATATATTGCATGAAATATGAAAATTTTTAAATGTACATTTACTTAAATTTATGTATAGTAAAAAGTATAAAATGTTGTTTACTCAATAAAATATTTTAGTCCTTGTTTTATAATCAAGATAAATTCAGCATTTTTGGTAATAGTCATATGTAGTGTATTAACGAAATATTCACTTACGATCGCTAACGCAATTTTATAGATAAAAGGAGATACGAACATAAACGTTTATTGTCGTATATAAATTGAAGATGATAATAAACAAAAGGACAATAAAAGTTCAAGAAACCTCAGTATATTTACATACCTGAAAATTCACCCTTAATAATTTGTCTATCTATATAAATATATGTATAAAAACGTATTAAACACGATAAAATACGGAAATCCTATAAACTGCTTTCTGTTTAATATAAATCCACATAGAACAACTACATTTGAAATGAAAGGGTAAACCATAAATTATATATTGTCGTTCTTTCTTTAAAGATTTCAACGGATAATTCAATGTTTTGGAGATGTGAAAAACGGCGCGAAATACGCGAATGGAAAACAATAAAGATTGTTGATATTATGATATAGCCGTCCCTACTTGTTAACGACACTAATAATGTAGAAAGACAATACAAGCATGTACCTATAACTTGACATAAATAGATGTTATTACAATAAATTTAAAACTGAAAAATTCGGAGAAAAAAACAAAAAGATATGGCTTACATCGTGAAGAGGATATGCGGCTATGTATGCTTTTTCCGAAATCAACCTTTCTATCCCAAATGCAAAATCATCATCCTTGGTTTCTGTAAATCTGGTTCTATCTAAAATAAACTGTACAATTCTAGCACGTGTTGCGGCAGTAAAAAAGTTTGGCGAGTCCAAACTGAATAAGTACTCTTTATCGCGGCTATAAACAGCCGTAAAATTATGTCTCATAGTTGGAAATATTGTTTGGTCTACATAATATTTTTTCATAATTCTCTTGAATAACGAATTGACTTCTTTAATTAATGCGTTACTACGATTTTCAGGAATTAACACCGTAGGTAATTCCTTCATTGGCAATCTAAGTTTTAATATTTCAGCATACCGTCTTAGTACTTCTCGAGGTGCATGAATTTTTATAAAATGAAGACCGTTCGGTTCTGCCTGTTCATATTCTAACTGTAAACCTTCCTTCTCCAAATTCTTTTCAAATACCTACAAATTAAAAATAGATATTAAATAAAGAATATTATTTCTTCACTATACACTTACTTACACGTCTATATTCAGTACAGCGATATGTTTGAGCTTCCACATTGTACTCATCCCAAACAATTACAAAATCAATTGTACGAACTTCGTCACGAAAATATAAACTAAAAGCTGTTCCACATTTTGAAATCTAAAGAAAACAATTATTATTTCATGATTAACACAGTTTCATTTTTAAGTATAAATAATAAAGTTATAAAAATATAATAAAAATAAAAAGTTATAAATTTACCGATTTTGAACTTCTTCTACTATTCCTTAAATCTGTACAACTACCATCAACTGTTGTTCCATTATTAAGGGTTGATAAATCATCATTATATGATCGTTCAATATCTTGGAGGGAGATTGCGCTATGCATACTATTCATACTCATACTTGTAGTATTATTTAATGATGAGATATTACGAACACTTTGATACAAAGTTTGTATAGATTCTGCATTTAAATTACTTGGTATCGATCGATAAAGACTTGCTTCAGATGTATTATTTCTATCTTTTTGTATCCATGGTATAGAAATTTCTTCATCATCCTCTTCCATTTTGAATTGAATTGATCAGTATTCAAATCCTATTTATTTGAATCTAACAACGTATACTACATGCAAGCCAAATAAAAAATATTTATATATTCATAAAAAAAGTGTCACATAACATGTACATTACAAATATTTTACTCGATTGGATATTATAATCTTATGATAAACTGAAGAATGAAATACATGTCACAAAGTAAGACATGAATAAAACAATGAATAGTATTAATGAAGCTATTAAAATGGACAAAGGATTATATTAAAATTTATCCAATTTATATCAAATTATTCCAACTTCACAAGAAAAGATGATTTATTACTAATTTTATACAATATCAAATTATAATATGTTTACAAAATTTTCTATGTAAAAAGCACTAAGTAAAATATATTAGTATGCTTACAGAATTTCCATGTTCCAATTAGAAATCTTTAATTCCGGATGCTGTACAGATATGGTACAGGAAATTGTCACAATATAATCGTATCGTGCATGTATTTTTAACCTTTGATTTACTACTACACAGATTTCTTTCTTATGAATTAGTTAGTTTATGTGCATTTTTACAAAAGTAACATACTTAGCATTTTAATTTTATTTTTTGAATAAATGCAAAGTAATGTATATAATCACGAAGATGTAATTTCATGATTTGTATTAATATATTGCACTACACATGTATGCAATTGTATGTATTGTATTGTATGCAATGTGTTAAATGATCACGTAGTCCATATAAATTGATACCATTTGTCACCTCCACTTGTTTGTGTCAGTTCAATTTATATAAATTCTTAAATTTGTAGCGACCAAAGACACGTACAACTAAAAACCTTTGGTGTGTCAACAATCAATATGATTTGTGACATACGGGCCAGCAAAGCTATTTTTAAGAAAACTATTTTTTATGTGTCGCTTCAATTAGTCTCATCTGTATGTATCTTTTTGTTCAAGTTTTGTTATCAGTCTCAATAGCATCCACAAAAGTCATTAATCCCAAGTTTCTACGGACGAGACAACACGAGCGTCGAATCAACGTGTTGCGTAACGTCTGTGTAGAATTATATGTATCTATGTTGAAGAGCTCGCACTAAGAACGCGCGTCACTTCAGTATACGATAATACATATATAAATACATATATTTCTACAAAGGATATCACGCAACGGACGTCGCTCGACGTCGGTGTGCATCCAGGTTAAATGGCCCATTCGTCGAAGATCTAGTGATCATAGGCCAAAAACAACCAGAGACGTAATTAGAAACCACATCACATGCCTTAGGCCAAGGAGAAATTACCCTGGATCACTAAATGTGATAAATAACACTGATATATATCATACCTTATATATCAGTGATAAACAAATTCCGCTTTTGAAGCGCGTTAAGGATGTCGAGAATACGATGTGCAACAAAAGTAATTAAATGCCTAATTGGTTGCGCTAGTGTGGGAATCAGCGACAGTTAGAGAAAGTTCCTATTTCATTTATCCGAGAAAAAGTCTGTAATCCATTAGCGAATAAAAGACTTTCCTATCGAACTATCTTGTAGTTAATAATATCATCTCATCCCTTCAAACTAAATAAAAAGCAACGACGTTTCTATAATACATTACAATCAAATATAAATTCTCTAATACATATTTCATGATACATTCATATTAAATATTTTCTTCAATAACGAATGTTGAAATGAGACTATCATTAAAAATATTTTTACAATTATGGGATTTTGGAAAGCTACAATTAATACAAATATTTCATTGTTTTATTTGACTTCCTATTACAAATAGAAATATTTATTTTGCAATAGTAGTAGTACAAAATTATTCTTTGGTACTTTCTGTAACAAAGTAAATTATTTATAAAGATCATTCATTTAACACTTTGACTGCCATGTTGTTCATATATGACCGGCCATGGTTCTTCTTGTGACGCCACGGTGGTCATTGGTGATTAGGGCATTTTGAATATAACCAACAAATAGAAGATACTTTAAAATAAAAAGTGCCCCATTGAACAATTAAACATTTTTATTAGAGCATCAATAAAAAAAAAAAGAAATGAGAATATATCTTGCATCTAACGGTGCACTGTGTTAAAACACTTTAAACATAAATGTGGCTCATCAATACAATCTGGACAATAGGTGGTCACCTTTTTGGTGCGATTCTTAGCAATTTTTGACCCTAACTGTTTAACATTTTTTTTATAGCACTCTCTGCAAAATTTTCGTGCCAGGTACGCTTGCCCTTCTTTCTTCTGCATTTCGTGTCGCAACCTTTGTCGAATAAGTATATCTGACGGCTCTGGTGAGTGACATTGTGTAAGGTGCATTGCAAGTGCCATTCTAAAATCTGATACCTTGATTTTTGTTTTTGTTGCTTGTTTATAAAGTATCATCGCGTTTGAAATTGATGTAAACAATAACTCTAAAGCTAATTTTATATACCACTTGAGGGTTCTTCTATGTGGTGTAGAATATGCTATCATTTGATCTGATAAATCTACAGCACATCTTCCTCTGCTGTAATCTACCACTACCATTGGTTTATCGCAAACATAATTTTTTTTGCGGACCTCTACCATTTCAGCTGAATGTTTCGTCGAAATCATAAAAATGTCACGCTCGTCTCTCCATTTGAGGACCGTAATCCCCTTCTTATTTTGCATTGCAATAAGTTCACCGCGTTTTAATTTTTTAAATTTAATGTCAACAGGTATTCCCTTTCTATCTTTTTTTAGGGTTCCTACTAAATGAGTATTGCAATCAATTAATTTTTCAGCTAAATTTATATTTGTATACCAATTATCGGTGTAAATTGTGTGGCCTCTATGAAGAATATTGTTGCATATATTCATTACAACATTTGTGGGGGTTACGCATGGCGCATCTAAGTTTTTTCCCCAATATATTTCAAATTTGTATGTATATCCTTGGCCTGAACACATTTTGAAGACTTTGATGCCGTATTTATGTCGTTTCTGTTTCAAAAATTGCCTGAACTTTATGCGTCCTTGGAAAGGTACCAGTGACTCGTCAATGCATATCTCTTCATCTAAATCATAGTATTTAGAAAAATTTTGATTTAGTATATCAACAATTTGTCTTAATTTGTACAGTCTATCATTTGTGTTTGCCGTTTGATTATTTGTAAAATGAAGGAATCGTAATAACAACTCAAACCGATTTCTCGACATAACTGTTCTTGGAAAAGATTGGCAGTAGGTGTTATTGGTACACCAATATGCGTCATATTTTGGTAACTTGACTAGGCTCATCCATATTAGTAGCCCGAAAAATCGTCTCATTTCATTTTTGTCGGTTGGTATCCATTTATCTACACGAACGGATCTTCTATTTTGCATATATTGTTCAGCATATCTATTGGTTTCATCAACAATTATTTGTAGAATTTCTTCCGTAAGAAAGGCAGCGTAAAAACTGTATGGCTGATTACCCTCGATCTGTACAGCAGTTCTAGATTTTACAAATGGGATTACACTTGCTGCAGTTTGTGTTATATTATTTGACCATTCGTTATCCTCTATATTATGTTCATTTTCATTTTCGATATCCATTTCATCCTCGGTATCCGGTTCGATTCGGCGCCGCCTTATCGTGGGCGATACGTGGAATATTTCGTCTTCTGATGCTTCATATTGAGACGAGTCTTCCAATGAAGACTTCTCGGATGCACTCGAAAAATATTCAGTGTCCGCATCCATATCTTTGAGGGGTAATCTATGAATATTATTATAAATACACCTTAGGAAATAATCGTAAATGCTGCTTTATAATCATTTTGAATTGAAGTTAGAAGTGTGCACATACCTTACTATTATATATAGAATGAGCAAATACTGTTTACTAATATCTTCTACACGTTTCAACAATATATTCTGGACGTTTTGCTTACGACGAAATAACGAATGCGAATGGTTTGTTGAAATAAACGAAGCCTTGTTATAATATGCCGCTATCAACTGTTACCAAGGAGCCGCGGTGGTCACCCGTGACCACTAATAAGATAAACGGTCCATTGGGGAAGAATGTTGTCTTACATCATCAATTTATTATTATTTTGTCATTATATGCTTTAAATAATAAAAATACTCCCGTAGCGTCCTGAGTGAAACATGTGATTTCGACGTGGCAGTCAAAGTGTGAATATATATATATATATATATATATATATATATATATATTATTTAATATTACTTCTATTCATTAAAATTAAGTTTGACATATTATTCTACTAATTATATCTTACATACATGTATCTTTTAGTAATGTATAATGTTTTATATTATCTACATATTACATAAAATATGATTAAAATTTGATATAGTACATATCTATTATAATAGGGATCACACTTCTTGCATAACTAAAGAATTGAGTTCATCTTCTCCTGGACATAATATTGAGTCAATATTATAGAATGCTGCATGTAAAGTTATTAGAAACCAGGATACGCCTGAGAAATAAAATTTACATATAAATAATCTTACATTATATCTAAACAAAAGGATACTTGTTTTATTTACCAAGAACCCAGAAAAGAGCTGCACCAGCACCTACTAAATAAAAGATTGGTAGTGAACAGATTCCTACCAAAGAATAAACTTGAGCTAGCGTTAATTTATGGTTGAATATTGTAAGCTCCTGTTTAGCATGACGTTGCGAAACCTTATAACAAGTTCCAAGAGATGCAGCAACAGCAAACAGCAATAATGGTGATGTAATCCTAATATCAAATATTTATTTTGAATTATTTAAGGTAAAAAGATATTCTATATAAGTGAAAGAATAAATATACTGTAATAAACCTTACAAACAATATATAACTAATCCAACAAACACGAACAAATAATTACTCTGGAAATATTCAATATTTCTCATAATTCTTTTACTCAATCTTGGTAAACTGGGTGGAGGTCTTATGTTGCTTGTATTAAGAAACATAGACCAAGGCCTGATATTAGCTTTTCTGTGTTCAATCCATTCATGAGCTTGTGGATATCCTATGTTACTAAGTGGAAGTTGTGGTATCTGTAGGAATTCGAGCCTAAATAACAAAATATACATGAATTATTAACATAAATTACTATAAAACAATACAAAATTTAAAAACTTTCTGTTTTTTTTTTTAAATGTTCGTAATAAAGAAATAATTGTACAAGAAGCTGTTATTGAAAAATATGGTAACTTTAATTAACCAATAACTATCAACAAAATGTCAGTGTTCTTATCATTATAAAATTTCCTTGCGTATTAGACAACAAATATTTAACATTCTATCTACGATCATCATATCCGCCTATCATGTATTTAATGATTACCCAGTGCCAGATTTTTGCTTTTGTTGAGATATTTGCATATCTCCCGCAATCTCAATTCCCACGTCTGTCATTCTCGTTTTTTTTAATGATCAAATTTTCGGGAATGGAAACGTGTGATAAAGAAACAACTACTTATTCTCTCTGTTTGGCTGTTTTACGTGGAGCCTCGTATCCCCACTGCAAAGCATTTGTAGCCTCGTTTTAGAAAAAACCCGTCGAAGGCAGTAAAACTTCCATCATATCGCACATCGAACTACTATGTTACCCCTACCACTACGACACTACTACACAAACACGAGCCAGCCGTCGCGCATACAAACGCTACAGGTTGCAGCTGCTCGATAAAAATTCTTTCATTGCCTCCGTGAAACTTCTTTCACGAAAAGAGCTCTTTGTCTGAGTAGAGGTAGAAGACGCGATACATTTTTCCCTTCCTTACGTGAGTTTTCAATGTTTTCATTTAACAAATGTAAAAGATATGTAACCATACATTCAGTGCATGTTTAGTTTTGATTGAATTTTTCTTTTAAACTTAACATTTCACTTTTACTTCTTTCTATTCTCGGAAATCGGATTATTCATCATTTCGTCTTGATTTCCTGATGCTTACGATTTAAAAATGTAATCAAAGCAAAACTGTAAAGATGTAAAACATTTCTACAATTAATAAAACGACCATATTAAACTAATACTAATAATAAATAACACCAAATTCTCTTACAATCAATTAAAGTTTGTACGATATTTTAGCCACACAACGGATGTTTATGCATTTCTAGGAAATTCAAAGCTATACAAATGTACGAAATATATATAATATAGAAAAATATGTATATAAAATATCTAACATAAAATTGTGGATGAAACAAATTACTATTTAGTATCCATTTCTTTATTTATATTCACAAGAAAGTATGAATTTGTATAAAAATTCGTAACGTATTCATAAATCCGAAATTCTTATTCAACTTAACTTTATTCAGTACATGTTTTCGAATTTCTAATTTATACGTCGTAATCGTATGTATACATAATTTAATTCATAAGATTGTGGCATGTGGTTTCATTTGTTACAGAAACGTAAGTTTTTTAGACGTCGAATGAGATCATCGGTGCAAAGGTAAAAGTTTGTTTTTGTTCTTTTATTCGACGAGTGATCATCGGCTATTTTAAGCATCGTTCGGTTTCGTCGAAAACTCGCGGAATAAAGTGTGACAAAAGTTTTTAGAATTTTCATCGAGAATGATTTCACCCTCTGAAACTATGTGCAGATGACGCTGCCATGTATTAGCATTGTGAGCAACGAGAACCAATAAGAGGACGCATTATATCGAATCCAGTACACCCGTTCTCAAGGAGACTTTTGATTGGTCGGCTTTAATTTCCCAAGTAACATCGGGCCACCCGCCATAACGAACGTAGCGTGGTACGTACGACTGTTTGAATGAACATTTTTGGAAAGCGTAATTGATAAGGTTCACAAATTAGTACCTTATTTCAGTTTAATACTAATAGTGTATACGGAACTGGTTGTATACGAGGAAACTTATGGTGACAATTTGAAAGACATGGAAGTTGCACAAAAGTTGCATTTCGACGCATGCGACATTCAAAATGAGGAACTAAATATTAGCTGTCATACAAACAGCTCCGGCTGTGATGTCGATGATATATTGGACTCTTCCGCGGAGGATCTTGGATGTTCACCTCCGCTTCAACCGAAAAAATTGTTCAGAAATACGATGGGCTGTTGTGACAGTGAAAGTAAGTAATCAATCCGTTCTAATTGCCTTGCTTGATTGCCGAATCGGAGATGCTCAGTAAGGTTACCCAACAGACTCGTGTCTTAAATATGCTTGTATGGAAAGACTTTTAAGCAAGTACTTTTAAAAATTGTGTTTTCGGTGTGTATTCCTCTAGTGATGAATGTGACAGGATTACAACATTACGTTATCTCTCTATTTCTATGCTGTTAGACGTCGATTATTCTTTCATTAATTTTGAGAAATCAATAATAGAATTTTATGTAGAGAAAAGGAATTAATAATTTGAATCAAACATTTTTCAACAGTTTCGTATTAAATCTTATTTGTTTTAAGAAAGCGAATGACAAATTATTAAATCAAATTCATTTGGACTAAAAGATGCCCTTTGAAAGTGATTCATCTACAACTCAGAGTTAATTAATTAGAAATGTTATTGAAATAAAAATTGGTGTGAATAATAATGAATAATAATAATAAATAAATACAGGAACAAAAGAAACATTGAAATAACGCAACGATACTCGTTTTAGAAAGACAATTCAAAACTTTAGTTAATATTCGCGAAAATCAATATGAAAATCTAGAAAGATAATAAAAAGATAACTTCAGACATAAATAACTAGAATGAAACTCTACATTCTACTTTCCATTAGCGATCTCTCATGCCAAGATAATTCCCGGTACAGTGTCGAATAAAATGAATCTACTTGAAGGAAGTATAGATATTGTAATATTTATTTAAATAAAGTTAATACAACTGTTAAGAACGTGTAATAAGCTTACACTTTCGTCATAAGGCAACGGCGTCACTCAGCTTATTTTTGCACATGCGCATTACTGCGCTCGCCAGCGACGCGCTCGGCTATAACAAACAACTCTATCACGACGTTTTCTTTCGTTCTTCTTACTTGCCAAATTTATGTTATCTGAAAACACAATAATAATAAAAATATGAATAATAACGTGACAGGTTAGTGCAGTTTCCAATGTTTTCGTACTTTTACGAGATGTTTTTGTTTGGTATCCTGACTGCAACACATTTAAAGGTATTTCATTTATTGTTGTATATATTTCTATTGTAAACAATTTTAAAAGTCATAATTTTGTTTTTTAAAACATCCTATTGCCAAAACTCAAGTATCTTGTATCTTATGGTGTTGTTTTTTTTTCAAATTTTAATTGTGTACTCTAAGTAATTCTTTCTTTGGTTTTTTTGTTTTATTATTGTAATTTTTATGATTGTCTGCATCATTTAAAATATAGTTGAGGTGAAATTACATTTTTGTTTGTTTCATATGATATGTCAATAGTATATGTGTAATTATTAATATATTATGTAGTGTACTTTAATTTTTAATTTTACATATATTAAGCATGTTTTTCTAGACCTTCCTTTCATTTTTAATTATTTATTTGTGAAAAAGTTATGTATAACCTTTTAATGTTATTGCGATATTTTCATGCATGGTGTGAGAAAATTGATATTTTTGTTGGGCAATTGTTTTACATCATGCTAAGTTGTTTATAATCGAAAATATACAGAGGTCGAGAAGTAATCAGTAGATACAATAGTATTGTGCACTGTTATTACCTCAAATCGTTTCATTATGCATGTACATATATACAAATATTTGTGATATATGTATCTGTATGTATAATTCTATGCATTTTCTTTTTAAATGGCGATTAATAAGTAATATTTATATGTGACTTTTCGCAAATTCTTTTTTTATTGTTAATAAACATTAAAATATATATATTATATATATATAATAATAATAATATACATATTTCATTATAGGAAACAAGTAAAAAAAAAATGTATATATATTTGTTTTATTTTCATGTAAAAACGTAATTGTACCTATATATTTATATTATACTGTAATTTATTGTCAACACATTCTATTGATTTTATATGAAGTCTTTGTTTGAAACACAAAGCTTATATTTGTCAAAAATTGGTATTAAAAAAGACAAATTATATAAAATAAATATGATTAACATTAAAAAATTAAAAGAGAGAAAAATAAAAAAATAAAAAAATAAAAAAAAACAATAAGAAAACTATGAAAAAAGTAACTACCAATAAAACAGTAAATATAAGATTTGACAAAAGTTCTTGAGTTTAGTGTGCATATGTATAGAGAGAGTAGACCCTGGAAAATTGTATGTTTCAATAAATATAATTCACAGGTACATCAAGAATTAGGATTCCTCCTCGTGAAAATATATGTTCTCAAAAAATATCAATGGCATGTAGTCCACCTTACAAACGTGTTAGAGCATTACGACTCTTTGATTCTCCCGCTACTCCAAAAACGCTAATGGAAAAGAGTACGATGCATACTCCATTTCCGACTAAATGTACCAGACTGTTTTCATTAGATAAACCTAGACCATGTAATTACCAAAATAAATCTGACAAACCTGCTGCTAATGTGAATCCTTTTACACCAAATGGAATGCTGTTAACTGCAAGGAAACGCACTAGATCTAAGCGTAGTTTGATTGGGTAAGTATACATATAAAAATCAATATAAAAAAATTCAATAATGCTGTCAATTTTAAAATAAAAATGGTTTTGTTTTTTTAACGTCAGTTCTCCAGATATTCAAATTCCAAAATTTGATCTCGGCGATTCCGAAGATTCCGATAACGAAATAGAACATGCTACAAAACGTGTAGCATTGCAAGATTCTAATATTCCACGATATCATCAAGAGTTCCATGAGCTTGGCTTAATTGGGACAGGTGAATTTGGTTCCGTTTACAAATGCATTAACCGATTAGACGGATGCATTTATGCCATTAAGAAAAGTATTAAACCTGTGGCTGGAAGTATTAATGAAAAGAATGCCTTAAACGAAGTATATGCGCATGCTGTACTCGGTAAACATCAACATGTTGTAAGATATTATTCTGCATGGGCAGAAGATAATCACATGATAATTCAAAATGAATATTGTAATGGTGGTAGTCTAGCAGATGGGATTATCAACTTAGAAAAAGAAAAAAAGCATTTTACTGAAGCAGAAATGCGACAATTATTGTTACATGTTGCTGAGGGTTTAAGATACATTCATAGCATGCAATTAGTACATATGGATATTAAACCTGGAAATATCTTTATTTCCAAAGAGAAGAGGTTACTCGCAGTTAATTATGATTCAGCTGACGATGGTTTCGACGAAGAGGAAACTGTAGAAGAAGAAATTACTTACAAAATAGGAGATTTGGGTCACGTTACATCCGTTAATAATCCTCAAGTTGAAGAAGGGGATTGTAGATATCTTCCAACGGAGATTTTGCGGGAAGATTTCAGTCACTTACCAAAAGCCGATATTTTCGCTTTGGGATTAACTGTTTATGAAGCAGGGGGTGGAGGTCCATTACCTAAAAACGGACCAGAATGGCATGATATTAGAAATGGAAATTTAAAGGAATTACCACATTACAGTCGTGATCTTAACGAATTACTTAAAGTAATATCATTATCAAATTCTTTCTTTTTTTCATTTGAATTAGAATATGAAACTCAATGAAATTTTTTTCTGTTTATAGTTGATGATTCATCCAAATCCTGAAATGAGACCATCAGCAATATGTCTTATACAACATAGAGTATTGTGTCCATTTGGAAATAAAACAAAAGCACAACTTCGGCGGGAATTGAATGCAGAAAAATTAAAAAATGAAATTCTATCAAAACAGCTGCAAGAAGCTGCTAAATGTCTAAAAACTATTGCCCCAAACGTAGCAGCAATTAATAATAATACAATGAATGCAGGAGGCTATGAATTAAGACCTACACCAACTAGAACTTCGTCTCGAGTAGTGGGTAAAAAAGTCAACAGAAGCAATAGCACTACAAACTTTTAAATGTTCTGTGTTATGTTTGTGCCGGACTAAAGGAGAGGGGTATAGGTGCTTAAGGAAAAAAAAAAATAAATTTTCTAAGTGCCTTGACATTGTGATATGAATTAACTCTAGTTTATAAGAAAAACTATGATCAATATTTGATAGTAAGAGAATATGATAAGTATACAGAGTGAAATTGTACAATAGCCACGGGTATACTCTTGCAGCGATGAAGGCATTATACAGATAAGATAAAGTGTGAATTTTATGCATGATAATTATAAACAGGTAACTTCTTAATTATCGGTATTTTACATTTCATCATTAATTAAATTTTTAGATGGATAATACAGTAATCTAATATCGTTTACTCATGTATATTGTTTGGTTTTTTTTCTCTTATATAAGATAAAAATTAGATTCATAAGGTTTGAAAATTCTAATAATTATTGGTATTGCTTATCATTAGTCTCTTTATCATAAAAATATAGGAAATGTAACAAAATCTATTTCTTTATAAAGAATGAAAATAATTTTATTAAATACTTCCTTGTATGCCTTTAATGTTCCTGTTAATAAGTTTTTAATTACCTACTTTGTACAATTACAATATACATATATTTTATAACATTACTGCTTTTTTTACTCTATTCAAGCAGTATTATAAAAAAGAGTAGTATTGACGGAAATAGAATGAAAATATTTTTAACATCAGTTACTAATTAAGGTTTTGACATATCATTGTGTTATACTTCCATTTTTCCCGTTTTTGTTTGAGATTTAATGTAATAAATAACTGGAAGTACTAACAGTAGACTATGAGAAATTGTCCATTATAAATATATTTTTATATATAGATATTTACATATAATAATAGTTCGGCGTTGTGTATTGTTTAGTGTGTAATTATTAATTAATCTCTGTATTATCCATCGTTTATTATTATCAGATTCTTATAGGGGTGTTCAAATAATTACTTTTTTTTTGTAATTTTCATACTCAGATGAAAGACTGTTACCTTAAATATATTGTATTGAATAATTTTTATATTTTTGCACGACATAGACTCAATATTTTTTAGGAGTATATATATACATGTTTTTTAAATTAATAATGAATAAATCGATATTATATATTGCTTGTATAGAAAACTAACCAAATAGAAACTAATGACTGACATAGTACTTCATCTAAGCATAATTCCTAGCCCTAATACTTACAATTTTACTCTGTGTATTCTTTATATAAGGGAATAAACTCTTAAAATTACAAACAATTAAAGAGTGAATCTTTGAACGTAAAAATGTTTTTAGTTTAAATTATTTTTATGATACCTTTTTATAGTCATATTATCTTTGGCATGCTCTGAAATTCGTATTATACAAATTTCCCTTGTGTTTTTAATATATATACATATATTGGATAAATATTGATGTAAAATAATTTGCATTTTTAGTGTAAGTGGTACTACCGATTAGATATTTCTTATTCTACTTACTAATACAAAAATTCACAAAAAAATGTATTTGTTTCATTATCGAATGTGTATTCAATTTAAAAGTACTACAAATTTTTCTATGTTGGACAGACTGACCAATGCATTTTTTTACTTCACTTTTTGTTTTGTAATATACTGTGTTTCTTGATCAAGAATGACAAAAACTAATGGTTTATTATGGTATAGTGAATTCAAAGCCTTGTACCAGACAAATGCATTCAATGAATTATTTTGTTCCTCAAACTAGCATCGAATAGATGTCTTATGTACAATTATTTGGCTTCTAGCTAATAAACAAATCAAAGCTTTTGTACCTTGACTTAATATTCTCGTGTCACTGAGCATGCTAATATGTGATCTTTTTTATATCTGCATTACTGAAGCATTTCAATATTTATATGAAAAAAGAAAGAGAATATATATATAGCATGTGTTGTAATGGTTTACATTACTGTTTACAAAACAATCTAGATTGCAGTTTTTAATATCATGAGGTTCTTTTTTTTGTAGTTTGTGTTACAAACTACTTGTGTCTTTTATTCGCAGTATAAATTCGGTTCTTAAAAATAAGGTTTATTAAAAAGTTTTCTGTTATATTGTCAAAATGTTGAAAAGTAATGCAATCAAATATTAATTCCCATGAGTGTGTAACCTCGTTTACAAACCAATGTTATGAATGTAGTCATACACCGCGCTATGTATAAAAGTTATGAAGTTTTGTAAGAAAAAATGTGAATAATCGATAAAGGAGCTGTGTAAGCTTCAAACTGTGTGCCAAGAAGGGTGGACCCCAACTCATGGCAGCACGTTTATTGTGAACTGTTGTTTCATTAATCTTATTATTATTATTATTAATATTATTGTATTATTATTATTATTATTATTATAATAAATAATTAATGAATGAATAATTAATATCGTTTGTTTATTCATCGTTATATTCATTCCAAGTATAATAATTTTGTAAATGTAAATTACTAATTATTGCGTTTTTCTGCTTTTAATTTATTACAAAAAATAAAGACTTTCATACTAACATTTTGTATTATTGTAATAATTTGAATAACAACACATACTTTTTTATTATATTCGAATTATCCTTATAAACAAGCGTTTTGTTAATACAACTTCGTTAATATTGCAAGCAGCGTAAATTTTGATGATACTTTATGACATTTCTAATAAGAACTGAATTTCGATAAAGATGATAATAAAGTTGGAAATGTTTGTTTTCAATTACGCATGCGTAAGAAAACGAAAACAGGTTTTCTCGATACATTTTGATGCTATAGACATTGGTATTTTGATACGATGCAGTAAGAAGCATTGTATTACTTGTTACTGTTGTTACTTGAAGAGTTGACCATTAGAGATAATAAATATTTTAATTAACTAAACGTTACATGAAACTGTTCGTTATTAATGTTTGAAGTATTTTAGAAAAATTTTAACGAGTTCTAATGAATCGAAACTTCGAATTTATTTGTTATGGTCATGTAATAATTTTTTGTTCTTTCATGTACAATTTTTGAGTTTAAACAACTATCAACACGATAACGTGTAAATACATAATTATATTTTGATACGAGTTTAATTAGCACAAAATATTATTATTTCGTGCAATATAAAAATCACAAAAAATGTTAAAAAATGAATGACAAGTTTTGTGCATAGTATAAAAGATTAATTATAAATTTACATATTGCTTCAATTTAGATGCATTTATACTTTAATTTATATTTGCCTAATTTTATACTGTAGTAATTAAAATACGTACTTTATAGAGATTTTTAGTGGTAAAATATACCACAGAATAATTTATAAGAAGTGAATGTATAAATACTATATCAAATAGATCTGATATAGTATTATAGCACATAAGGCTTGCTTTATTTAATTATAATATTTCAAGCATGTTTAAATAGGACTATAGTACATATAGTATTTTGTACAAATATGCACGCACAAAATCTTTTAAGAGAGAAAGTGCATGAAATTTTCTCAAAGAAGATCCAGAAAAAATATGCTACACTGGCTGAACTTGCTCGTAGGCAGATGTACTCTAATTTTTACAAAAATGGTTTGAATCCCCTTTATTGTTATCGACACTTTTATTATATAAATCACATTGCATTTTCTTCCATTATTACTATGGTAAACAAGCTTTTTGAGATAAATTCATATTAAACTATTTAAATTATTACAGGCACATATAAAATTAAGTGAAAATGCGAACAGATTATGTACAGGATGTTCAACCAAAGAAAAGGCAGAATGAACTTTTATATAGATATGGATATTTTCTATCAATGCTTTTATGTATGATGCTTGCCTCACTTAAGCCACATTTTGGTAAAACAAATGGTATTAATTCTCAAACAATTAAATTTGTAAATTATATATTTTATGTCTTACTATTCTTATGTTGTATGTTTGTAATTCAGGTGTTCTGAATGGAAATATTATTATTCGATATTTTGCTGTTCCTTTAACGTACTTAGAAGCAGGCCTATTATGTGATCCAAAAACACTTTATTTAACATTAAGCAATGGTTCTCTCTTAATATTTACAATGACTTTCATATATATTTTAATGCCCTTTCTGATGAGAGTTGGAGTATGTTTATTGACTTATGCCAATGTCAATGTGTGGTTATTGAAAGGAATGGAAGTAAATAAATGAAAATCAAAATATTTTCAATAATTGTATAAATACTCTAGTCTAATACAGATACTTTATAGTAATCTATTTTAATTTTTTTGGTTTTTAGGTACTTTACTGTATGCCACCTCCATTTAATACAAGTTTTGTTTTGTGTCAATTGGCACAAGCAGATTTGTCAACAAGCATTGTGATTACTTTAGTATCTCATTTTGGAGGATTATTTATATCTCCTATATTATTATACTTTGTGGTATTTATTCATTATTAAAACTTAAATTGATATATGTTTTTCATTTTATAAGAATTTTAATACTTTTAGTTAGGGGCATCTACACCTCCCTTAGTTGGTGTGAATGTAAAGGAAACCATTTATAGTACAATTGTACCATTAATTATTGGTATTGCAATTCAAATTGTGATCTTAAAGTATGATGTTTGTTTCAAAATTAAGTCACCTTGGTTTTCTCAAGGACTATTATTAGCTACAGCATATCATTGGTTTTGTGATGCTGTGTTGGTAGACGCATCATCTTTGCAAGCTACTGATGTGTTATTATGCGTATTACTTGGTAAGTTTCTATTAAAATTTACATCTATGTAACCAGATGAACATTAACGGCAATAATTGTTGTAATAATGTTAGTGCATGTATGCACACCATCTTCATCAGTCAAAGTACTATTAATTTGACTTAAATACAAGATATTGTATGCTTTTTGTTACTTCATTGTGTTATTAGTATCCTTTTATGTTCAAGCTTGCGTGGGACAACTATTTGTTAGCTGCTTATGTTGGATTTTGTGCTCTCGGTGGTTACCTCGGAATATCTTGCTAGCTGCACTTTTTACAAGTACTCACAAATCAGTTGGTCTTGGAAGCTGGGTTTTACGTGGTGCTTATCATGGTTCAGCCCATGGTCCTGCAGTAAATTTACCATTGTCTGTACTACCAGTTGCACAATTGCTGTTAGGTAGTTTATTAGCTAGTTGGTTGTCTCCATAATGTAAAATACGTTATGTGATTAATTTGAATAATTTTGTTTGTATACTTTGCATTCCATGTGAAATTGCATGTATATACTATTTGTTGTTTATGTAAATTTCCTTTGATTATATGTATTTTTTGTGTACTTCCTAGTATATAAGCTTTTTAATAAGAACATTCTTTCCTTTCTTCTCTTATATTTGTTAATGTACTTACATAATAGCGAAACATTGAAAATATATACTATATTACTTTTTATAGTAGTAAAATATTGTAAGGTATTTCGGTACGTATTACTAGAATATTTAAAAATGTAATTAATCTGTTTATTTAATGATCACGTTCATTATAGAAAAGGATGCCTTAACAAATAGTATTCAAACATGGAGTTAAGAAATAAAAAAGGCTTAAGTAGATTAAGATCTTAAATTTTAATATATAAAAATCGTATGAAAATTATTTACATAATGTAATTTGAAAGTGTTTAAAGAAAACGTTTAACAAAATATTGGGTAGGATTTTACTCAAAATTGTTTTCAAAATGTATCAAATAAGTTTATTTATATGTATAACGAAATGCCAAAGGCTTTGAAACATAGTCTGTGATTTTTTTTCTTTAAATTTCACGCAGGGTATATATGAACTTTATTTATTGCGAAATTTAATACTTACCTTGGAAACTAATTTTAAAAATTTGTATATAACAATTATATATTATTTTTTCAGTATATATTGAAACAACTAGTGTAAAATTATGCATGAATAAGTTTTTTTTTCAGTTCTAATCAACTTAGCTTCATTGACATTTGATAAAAGAAAATCATGACAATTATACATTACACTGTACATCATTACAGGAACAATTTTAAATAGTACATTAAGTGAAAGTAAAAAAGAAAAACCAATTACACTACTTAAAAGCGTTGTACGCTAAATCTTATGTAATAATTATATAATAAATTGTATTTGTATCTTACAAGTTATAAATATAGTTTCCTCACTTTCGATTGTAAAATTTCTGAAAATTATAAGTATCTACCTACATCTAAAAGTCTGGTTACTTGTTTATTATAGATTATCTCGAAAGAAATAACAAGAGACAAGTCACAATTCTACACACAAAGAAAAAGGACTTTGAATTCAGAATAAGATGTTTCCCATACAAAACATAGCGATTTTATTCTACAAATAATGGGATAAATTTGGTTAATTTTTTTGTTGTTGGAAACTTGTATATCTGTTTTCTATTTCACTATGCGCAATTTGACACGGCACATGTTTTTATAATACCGTTATAATGCGCATGTGTATATATTTAATAATATTAACAAATAGTGTAACACTCATAATAACGTGTATGAGCTCATAACCTGATTTTTTCATGTAAATCATGGCATTTGACGCATTAAACGATAGTGCAGCAATGGCGCAAGTGCTGAGCATATATTGATTCGCCCAGATCATCACACAGTCATTGTAGTTGGTACCAAGTTTTTGTCACGAATAACGCTGACGCTGCTATCGCCGCCAGCTTCGCGACTCACCATCTTCGTCTTCTTCTTCTTCGTTTTCTTCGAGAAGTAATGCCTCAGCGTTACCCTGTTACACAAATACAGGTTTGTACCATGAAAAAGATGAACAAAATATTTCGCAATTTTTATTATTTATTCGTATGTTAGAAAACAATTAGGAGATTTTAATAAAAATAAAATAAAATAAAATACAGGTAATTGCGTTTTTAGAAATTACATCGTAATCTGAAATTTTAATGACTCACTTCTAAATCAATATCCTCATCGGTGGGTGGTGGTGCTTGCTCAGAACGTGAAGAAAGTTGTACAGATGCATTTGCATTTGTACCACCACCGCCACGATGTAGGTGATGTCCAGAGACCCAAGTTATAGACAATAATCTATCCTGAAATGTGCGTCCTTTTACTAAAGCTATCTCAGCTTCTTTTCTTGATTTAAAATTGATTACAATCGAAGGCGTTGCGTCATCTACTATTTGATTCACTATTTCTCCAAATTGCTGAAATACGAATAATACAGATTTTCATTTATATGATCAGACAAAAGTAGAAACATACGTATGTACGAAGAAATAGAAATGAAATCCTACTTGAAAATGTGCTAAAACTTCAGCCTTTTCTTCGGTTTCGTAACCAGAGACTAGAAGACTTGTAGGTCTATGATCTACTGAAACATGGGCAAAGCTTCCTCTGCCGCGTCCCCTATATGATAATGCATGACTACCTCGTATAACTCTACTAGATCTTGTACCTCGACCAGCAGTTGGCCCTGCATTTAAACCTAATGCAGCAGCTTGTGCTCGCAATTCATTTAATCTCTTTTGCAATTCTCCAGCATCTTGTCCTTCCTGTTGCGCGGTCATTAAATCTAATTCTGCGTCTAAGATCTCTTTTTGGGTTTGTTCTCTAGATTTGATTTGCGTTTTGTTACCACCAATTTGGCCGTTTGCAGCCAAATCTTTACGTAAATTATCAATAGATTGTTGCATCGTTTTGATTGTTGCCATAATTGCATCTTTTTGTTCTGGATTCTTTTCAGCTTTGTCAATCAAAGCTCGAATTTCTATTAAATGCTTATCTAATAATTCTTGTTTTCTTTTACGCAAATCAGCAGTTAATTTTAATGCCTCTTTACGTTTCTCTTCCTGTTTTTTCTTTAACGTTTCCTTAGCGGCTAATATTTCTTGTGTCTTTTTTATTGCAAGAACCTTGTCTTCTCGCGTAGGAACAGTGGTGGTTTTTGGCGAAGTTGGAACCAAAGTCTGTGAGACTTGTTCTTCGGTTGAACGACGAGTGGGAATATATTCATTTTCTTCAGTTTTTGCTGGCGCAGTTACAGCAGCACCTAATCGTTCTTTGACAGAGGGACGGCATCCTGAATGAAATGGAGCATTGTATTAAATATGGATTTTTTTTATAAAAAAATAATTGGTGAACAAGTCAATGTATGGGAAAAAATATGAATAGTACATACCTGGTGGTACGTTTTCAATAGCACCACCAGCTGCATTGTTGTTAACATTGTTATGCCAAAAAACTTTGATAAATCTATTATTCAACACAGCCTCCGTGCTTCTGTATGCAGCCTTTGCTTCAGCTGGTAGCTGGAAGGTAACCAGCGCTCCCTCAGGATCTCCCCCGAAATTAACTTGGATATTTACAATTTTACCAAATTTTGAAAAATGATTATTCAACTGGGTTATGTTGTTCAGGCTACGTGGAACTTTTTTTAATTCCAGAGAACAATTAGCTGGATTATGTACCACTCGTTGTTTTGGTCCAAGACGATTAAAATCGAATGCTTGTTTACGTTTTAACGGATTTGTTTGAGTATGTGGTATCTCAGACGAGTTTGTATGTGGAATTACTGGCACACTGATCAGTTCCCGTCGACCCCTCCCATAAATTCCAGGTCCAGGTTGAGGATGTCTACCCCATGGCATTCGCGGCTCCATACTTGGTGCATCTGGATTGTATTCCGCAAAAGCATCTATCAAGATTCACATTACACCGTTATTACTACTATGTATTAACATTTTATATATGAATAAAAAATACTTACCCATATCAGAATGATGTTGATTCCTTAAATGTGGAGGAGGTAAACTTGCGAGAGGGAGGTGTTGTGGTGGAGCATTTCCATTAGGTCCTGGGGGTGGTTCTGGTACTGCTGTTACAGGTACTGTTCCTGGTGCTTGAGCACTATGTGGGCCAAAGGTCAGAACGCGACTTAGAGCTACGTCTTCTAATACAACAGGATCTGTACCATGATCATAGGGACAAAGATCACCTCTCATACAGTAACCTTTTTCTGTGAATATTAATTATTTATTACACAAAATTCCCTACATTCTTCTTTGAAATCTCTTGATGATAAATACAAACCATCAAAATCCCTGCACCTCCTCTTGGCTTGAAAACCTGGTTGGTTATTTGGAACACTAGAAGCGACGGCAACGACGCTTTGAATTGATTGACTAGTAGTCGACAACCTCATGTCTACATCACCATGATTGCTATCCTGTGTTGGAGTACCTCCACCAGGACTTCCGTCAATTCTTTCTGTTCTATCCACTTCCATTCTTTCGGTGCGATCTATCTTTTTACGATCTAATGATCTTGATCGGGATCTAGATCGAAGTGGTGTCGGAGATCTATTTCTAAATCGCGCTCTATGATCACGATTATCAGGACCATCTCGTATTCTTGGTCGTATTGGTGATGTGCTACGACTTCTGCTCCGTCTATAAAATAAATTAAATATTGTAAAAAAAGAATTCAAATATCTTATTAGTTGAAATAAATTTTGTATAGACCTTCTGTCATGTCGTCGTGTATTTGGTGGCGATTCGTTTCTCCATGGCCGACTCCTGTCGCGTTCTCGATCACGACGAATATGTTCCCTGCTTCTTGATCTACGTCTATCTCTCTCCCATGAGCGCGAACGTGACCTTGTTCGGGACCTCATCCGACCACTTCTGAAATATGTATAGATCATACTCCAAAAAATTGTATTACACACAACTTGTAAGATTTTTTAACAATTTGAAAAAAAAACTCACCGACTCCTAGAACGTTTTTCCTTCTCTTTATCAACTTTATCAGAGTCTGATTTTCTAGTTTCACGTTTACCTATTGCCATAGGTGCAGATCCATTCATTTGAAGTGGAGCAGGGGGATTTGTATTCATAGAAGTAATTGCAATTGTACTTTCAGTTACTTTATCTGTAGTTAATGCTGGTGGTGGTGGATTTACACCTGGTGGTGTCCCACCACCATCTGGATCACTTTTTGGAGGCGGAAGTACATATTCTTGAGTCTCTAATGTTTTAAATAACAATTCCACAAAATTTTTTGTTTCTGTAAAGAAAAGATATCATAATACAAAATAAATTTTCCAACACTGTTTGAATATTAAAATATGAACATACCTTGCTGCAAAAATACATCGAGCTGTTCAACCATTCCACCTCGCAACTCTTCCAGTGTTTTGTCCTTCTTAACGAGAGCATATACATATTTTGCTAATGCAGCAGGATCTGCATCACAACTGTAAGATTGTATTAATATTAATGTTTTGGAATAAATAATTGTAAAATAATTATGTCTATTATATGATAGATACATAAAAAATTATAAATTAATATATATTAAATTATACAAAAATTGTGTAACAACTAAGTTTATATTTAAAATCTTATATCGCATATATAGTAAATAATTATGGAACATAATAATATAATAAGCCATGCAGTAAAATTTTATTTTGTTAGTTATGATATGTTGCAATAGAAACCTGTTTACAGGTTATAAAATGCAAAACAAAAGTTAACCTTTAAGTTAAACTTTATTAAATCAATAAATTACAAATGAATAAATGAAGTTAGTTACGTGTTTGCAATTAATTAATTATATATCAATGAAAGAATTATTTTAAGTAATATTAAAGATCTAATTCAATATGTATGTATGATTTAAATTTTAACATATTTAGAAATATGTCTTTAACTAAAGTATCTTCTATTTTAGATGTAATAATATATAATTACTAGGATGTTTATAATAAGAATCATATATAAAATAAAAAGGTATTTCGAATATTGATCCCTGTCCATAGGGTAAACGATGTTTTAAATAAGCATTACTGTCAACAAATTGTTATGGAATAAGTAATTGCTTAAGTTGTTTATGTGAGAAGATTAGCAAATAAAAGGTGTGTTCTTATTGGTATATTTGAATAAAACACATATAAAATATGTGTTGCGGGTTAAAATGCAACATAATTGAACAAACTACGTTCAATTATTCGAAATGCGTTCGCTGCAAAATAGATACGATATAGTCGTGAGAATGGGGCATATCATTACTTGATTGATTATTATTAAGAACACGATAAATTTGACGGAGGATCGCTAGTCGAAATGATTTATCAACAATCATTCAGAAGCAGGCAACAGTAATACATGTAAATATAATTCTGCATAGGGTGTAAAGCATAGCACATGTACGGCCATTTACAACATCAAATGCGTACACATACACCTAAAACTATACTCGGACAAGCTGGCCTACTTACAGTGGTTCCAAGACGGCAGTGAGCCACGCCTTGAATTGATCCGGGTTCTCTATTATCATTTTCAGTAAATACGCAACGAAAATCACATGGAACTTTCCAAAGACACACGTTAATTATACAATTTCTGGGCGGGAATAAGTACTCTCCTAAGTAAAGACAGTCGCCATTCTGAAATCTCTCTCCCTATACATGCAATGTTCACATAGATAGACTTTTCACTTCTAGAAAATGTCACGGGAATCGCTGCAGCAGTATGTTAAGTAGGTTAGGTTCGCTTGCTAGTTTATTAGCATAGAGTATATTGTACATAGTTGTGTTTGCATTGTTCCAAAAAGTCTTTGTTTTAGTGGATTTTTGATACATTTAAGAATGCCTATACCTTGTTCAATCAGTCGAATTTGGAAAAGTATAACTGATTTTAGTTAATAGTTGATTACTATTGAATTATAATTTTCAGATGATAGCTTTATATTATTGTAGAAAATGTTTAAATTGAGCTACTAATCCTGATAAATAATTCTTTAAATAACAGTACACATATTTATTTAACTGTTTGAGGTTAATGAGGTTAATGTTCGAAAAAGTAATTGTCTATTTGATAGTAGATTTCATCTTGTTTCCTCTAGATTTTGATCACGTGGTTTTATTTATTTATCTTAGCTCGACTCGTTAGCAAGAGCACATTTAAATTCAATATACTTCACGTTGATAAAATGTAATTTTTAGAGCTAGTAATTCTTATCGTATATTAAAAAAGTGAAAAAGACATAGTTGTAAAATATTCTTAATTGAAACCACGAAGATCATTGCAAATAACTATCCAACATTGTCAACACAAATTACTAACACATTACTAGACTAGTGAAATTCTGAAAATCCTTAAATTCGTAAAATTTAAATTTCTTTCGATGAATACTTTATCACTTATATATGTAATGCAAATTTAAAAAATTGATTTAAATCATGGGAAAACATATCGAATATCTTTATAAAACTTGAAGAAAAATATAAGAGGACCTTTTAAGTTTACATTTACAGTATACAAACATTATTTTGTTTACAAATGAGTATATTTTTAATAATGTTTAATATTATTTTTTACATTCCAAATATTTCAATAATTTTTGATTTACTTAAAATTTCAACTTATTACGTGGAAGTATATAATCCTATTTCCTCTGGTATAGAATTTTGTTTACTTTTTTTATAATGATGACTTATTATGCCAGCCCCTAATGCATCTGCTATGATGTTTAAAGTGGTTCTAAAACGGTCTCTAAACATAAATTGTGATTATTAATATTTTAATGAATATTTAAAATCGCATAAATACATCGTTGGATGCTTACACGAACCAATCAATGGCGATAATTAATGAAACATCTTCTACTGGAACTCCCACGGAATTTAATACCATTATTAACATTACATAACCACCACTAGGTAAGCCGGCAGCACCAATACACGACAAAGTACATGTTATACTGTAAATTTTCCAATATTATTGTATTATTATTAGACTACGGATTTTTATGCAAATTTATATTTTTATAATTGCAGTTAAAAGAATTAAACCTATGTAGAGAATTCATTTACTTCCTAAATATTATAATAAGCACCTTCAAATATTTCACATATTTTTACATATTATATCCATTCTCTACATGTTTGCACCTTTAGATTTTCTATAAATATAATTCACAATTTTATAAACACAATTCAATAAATAAAAATTCATAGTCTAATTATTATTTTTCATTATGTTTCTGAAAGTTGTTTATCAATTCATAAATTTATATAGGAAGGTTGTTTATCTTCATACAAACCAGATTATTATGATCTTGAACAATGAAAATTGTAATCCATGCAATTGAATTATAAAAATTGCACCAATGCTTTCATATAATGCTATACCATCCATATTTATGGTAGCTCCAATTGGTACAATAAAATTAGATATTTTAGAAGGTATTCCAATGCGTTCCAAGCATGATATTGTTACTGGAACTGTAGCTGTGCTGAAATATAAATATAAAGTATATAATATAATAATTTTGTTAACAAGCAATAAATTAACAACATATTGTCTTAGTTTAAATACCTTGATGATGTACCAAATGCTGTAGCAAAAGCTGGTCCAAGTTTAACTATGACGTTGTATGGAGATTGACGGGTACATATAAAATACACTAGAGGAAGTAATATTAAACCTTGTATAAGCAAACCACTAAAGACAGTTAAAATATAAATTCCAAGCCTTTTTATTAAACTGTTAAAGTCTTCTACTTCAAGAATTTTTGCAGAAATAAGAAATAGTGCACTTATTGGTACTAGCCTGTATAAAATGGATATGTGTGCATATAATAAAAGTTAATGATTTCTTTTTTATTGTATTTAGCATTTAATAATTTTACATTATTGCCCAACTCATGATCTTCATCATTGCATCTGATAAAGACAGAAAAAAGTTTATTAAAGGTTCTCCTTTTGCACCTATATCTCCAATTGCTAATCCCAAGACTAAACTAAAAACTACTAATCCTAATACATCTGTTCCTGGTACATTCATATGATCTATTTTCCATTCATCAATTGGTACTAAAAGATAGAAATCAAATTTTAATTTAACTTTTATAATCTCAATTTACTCCTTTCTTATGTTGCTATAACATACCTGATTCATTCTTTTGTAATACAGTTTGATACTGAAATAGTGTTTTATTTATTTTTGTTGTTGTTCAAATTAAGTTGTTGTATTAAGTTGTAATTTGTTTTAATTAAATTGATCATAATAATGGCTGCAGATGAAAGATAGAAACTTATAAAATTTTATTACCTGGAATAAGGTTGCACTCACTATGTTTTCTGGGATAAAATTTCTGTAATATAAATAAACAAAATAGATTGAATAAATAAAAACAAGAAACAAATTAATATTATGCATGAACTACCGAAATAGATCTAAAATTGTGTCCACTGTTATTGAATATCTGGTTGTATTTTGTGTTATGATGTTTTTATCTTTAAGTAAATCACCAGGTCTTATTGTTTGAACTAGTATAACACTTAATATTATTCCAAGTGATGTTGTCGTTGTATAGTAATATAATGCCATTGTTCCAATGCGACCTATGCATTTTAGAATTTTAAGATTTGTAATAAGAAATTCTTGTTTAGCAGTGATGACAATGTAAGTTGCTTTATACTTACCTGATTTTTTCAAGTTGCAAGTAGCACTCACTATACTGGATGTTATAAGAGGCAATATTAAACAATTTACAATTCTCATGAATAGTTCTCCAGGAAACTTTAGATACATTACATTTCGTTTGGTCCATGGTTGAAGAGTAAAAGTTTTAAGAATGAGTCCTAATGAAATTCCAGCACATACACCAATAACTGTCCATAATATTATCTTTTGTCTCAGTACTTCTTTTAATATATTCATTATATATCAATTTACCAATATTTGTCACTAAATTATCGTGATTTAGTATAGAGGAACTTGTATTTTGTATTAAAAACTATTAAATTATTTTTTTACATAAATATTAATAACGCAAAATCAGAGAGAATTTTGTATGTATAAGAGATAAGGATTCTTATCTAATGTAATGATACAAGAAAATTTTTTCTTATAGAATTTTCAGAAAAAATAACTTTTTATGAAACTTACTGTTTTATCTAAAGTGTTGAGGATATGGATGAAGCACTACTTAAAAATAGGGAACATTACCTTGAGAAAGATATCTTATGACAGAGATATATTTATGACCCTTTTACAATCATAATACAATATAAGAGATAGTTGTACTTTTATCTTACAACTATACTCTAAATGATTCTGTTTCAAATTAGTTTGTTGAAAAAATAGCCTTATCATATAAATAAATAAGTGACTAATATTGATATTTTATTTTTTATTTATTTTGCATCTATTACAATATAATAAATATGATCGTGCACAGTACATGAAGAATGTGTATTTACACACGTTTTTATTAATTTTCAGGCCATAATTTTACGTATTTGTAACTGAGTTCGCATTATAATGATATATTTTTTCTTAAATCGCTCAATATAATTTATACATATCTTTACAATTCTGCATAATCCACATCACATTATGCATTTCATTTGCACCCAGTCTTCTGAAGAAAAAAAATCTCATATTATATCGTCCTCTCCCATCAAAGTCATGACTATTAATCCTTAAAGATTTCAATAATTAATTCATTTTTTATTTCTTTCGTTTATATGAAGTATTAGTGAGATCAGTAAAGAATTTTATTAACGTTACATTTATACAAAGTCATGTTTCGTAAAGTTTACATATCTAGATCTACATATTTCTCTATACTGTTTAATATTTGGTTTTTTTTTGTATTACGCAATTTTCATCTTCTTTCTTTTTTATTCAACAGCAATTCTTATAAATCATATTCTTTTTCGTTTACTTTTTCATACGAGGTAATTTGATTTTGCTCAAATAAAAAGAGAAGAATTTGTTTATTGACTTCCGCTTTTTGGTGATTACGATTCGCCAGCCGCAATAACGGATTCCAGTGTCCTGCTGAGGTGTTTCTGACAACACAACCTACATCACAAAAAATTAAGGTTTTGATTAGTCCTTTGTCTTTGTTTTTTTGCTTTATTGTTAATTATTACGTAAATAATAAACTCGACACGACACACTTAAACGTAGATTAGTGAGATGGTTATTCTGAAAAGATTAAAACATTAAAACTCTTTAAATTTCATGTTTTGCTAAATTTCTAATCTTATCGTAAAATCTAATGTTATATATGTATAGTTATTTCTGATCATGCAAAATATTTATAAGTTACGATTTAGTAGAAAAGGAATACAAAAATCTACTGATACCACTTCCAAAACTGAACACTGTAATTACAGTGCATAAGGATCAGCTACTTCTATTTTCTTATAAATTGAATATATATATATATATGTATGTATGTATGTATGTCATTCAAGTACTGTAATATTAAACAAAAAAAGAGAAAAAAGAAAAAAAAGAGAAGAAGGAAACTTAAAAATTTATCATTCAATAATTTTCAAATTAAAACTGAATTAAACGAAAACTTCAAGGGATGAAAATATTTAAATTCTAATACTAAAGTGTACGATTGAATGGCAATTGTAAGTATGTATATTTGTAAAGCATAATGGAATTATGCAGTGCATTGTAAAGAAAAATACAATTAAATACAATGCTGTAAACATTTGTACAATTTCATACGAATCAAACGTTTCTTTAAGTGTTTGGTGATTTATTGTCTTTTACAATCATTCAAAATACGTTGTATTTGTATCATAGACATTTTTTATGACCCTCAAAAGTGAAACTGTGTCAATACCTGTCCCTACAAAGGTGTTTCCTTTCGTGCCTCGGCCTTCCACTGAAATCCATTAACTCGTGTTGTGATAGGCTTATTTCTATTAGTTGCATTTTCAATTCCATTTCTAACACCTGCTACTAATCTCATGGCTGGGTTGGAAACCAAGCCATTGCGCTTTGGTTTTGCATTGCTTGCACTGTAATAAAAAAATCAGTTCTTTCAAAAAGTGTCTTTCATGCTTAATCTCTAATATAGTCTATTAGAAAAGTCGCTCCAATATGTTTTAGAAACAATTCACAACCAATTAACCATTATTAGTGGTTTATATTTAGGACGCAATGTGGAGGGAGTTTCTTTAACATTTTTATTATATTATTGAAATGCAATCTTACCTGGCAGGTGTATGGTCAGAGGTATGTTTCACGCTTCTGCCAACACCAGCGCCGCTGTTTCCCAATATTATCCTCATATGAGTGTCCCTAGTGAAATGAGTATCGGCCGAGTTTCTTTTCTCGTCAAGACCATTTTTCTTGTCCTTCGTCACGCTTAAACCTAACATTTCGTTTGTTAATTCAAACGGTTTGCTAATGTCGTTTTTATCGATGATCTCTGTTTTTATGTTGATCGGTTCGTAAATGGCTGACGTGTGATATTAAACAAAAAAAGAGAAAAAAGAAAAAAAAGAGAAGAAGGAAACTTAAAAATTTATCATTCAATAATTTTCAAATTAAAACTGAATTAAACGAAAACTTCAAGGGATGAAAATATTTAAATTCTAATACTAAAGTGTACGATTGAATGGCAATTGTAAGTATGTATATTTGTAAAGCATAATGGAATTATGCAGTGCATTGTAAAGAAAAATACAATTAAATACAATGCTGTAAACATTTGTACAATTTCATACGAATCAAACGTTTCTTTAAGTGTTTGGTGATTTATTGTCTTTTACAATCATTCAAAATACGTTGTATTTGTATCATAGACATTTTTTATGACCCTCAAAAGTGAAACTGTGTCAATACCTGTCCCTACAAAGGTGTTTCCTTTCGTGCCTCGGCCTTCCACTGAAATCCATTAACTCGTGTTGTGATAGGCTTATTTCTATTAGTTGCATTTTCAATTCCATTTCTAACACCTGCTACTAATCTCATGGCTGGGTTGGAAACCAAGCCATTGCGCTTTGGTTTTGCATTGCTTGCACTGTAATAAAAAAATCAGTTCTTTCAAAAAGTGTCTTTCATGCTTAATCTCTAATATAGTCTATTAGAAAAGTCGCTCCAATATGTTTTAGAAACAATTCACAACCAATTAACCATTATTAGTGGTTTATATTTAGGACGCAATGTGGAGGGAGTTTCTTTAACATTTTTATTATATTATTGAAATGCAATCTTACCTGGCAGGTGTATGGTCAGAGGTATGTTTCACGCTTCTGCCAACACCAGCGCCGCTGTTTCCCAATATTATCCTCATATGAGTGTCCCTAGTGAAATGAGTATCGGCCGAGTTTCTTTTCTCGTCAAGACCATTTTTCTTGTCCTTCGTCACGCTTAAACCTAACATTTCGTTTGTTAATTCAAACGGTTTGCTAATGTCGTTTTTATCGATGATCTCTGTTTTTATGTTGATCGGTTCGTAAATGGCTGACGTGTGATTGTATCCTCCGATCTGCGCTTTGTACGGTATATTCTGGTTTCCAGTCAACAAAGATACTCCGAGCTGACTCTGTATCACGTTTGCAGCGGTCTGGGCACTAGGTGGACTCGTATTCGTCGGCGAGTAGGGTATCAGGCTGTCGCTTAACGGCGAATGAGGCGGCGACGCGTAGATAGGACTCTGCGGTTCGCTTTTCAGAGGTGACAAAAGTTTGCTGAGCGGACGACTCTTCGCTCCCCTCGAGCATTGTTGCAGTTGTTGCGTGAAAGATAATGGTGTCTAAAATTATAGCAGTCAGATAACGCGTGGTTCCCCATAGGAATCAAATTCGTAGCGTGTATAGATCGAGTTGGCCTCTAACGTTTGCATAAAAATCAATCGAATGTACGTTTTAAATGTGCATCAGGTTGTTCGAGAGAGTTAGTAGATTGCATTTAAACAAAATCTTCGTACGAAGAGTGGCATTGTATAAATAACGATCTGTACACGGGTGCATGAAAACAGAATAAACAAAACATGCAGCCAGAAAGAGATGATGGAACGTGACGGATGAGAGCCGATTGGAAGTGGTATCGGAGAGCTCGAACTGGCTCCTCAAGTTACACAAAAGAGTTAATCGGGAAAGCATTAGAAACAACAATTGTTACCTACTTTTATTACCTGATTCACCACCGAGTTCTGGTTGAATTTCCCTTGATCGCTCTTTGTGCTACCAGTCAAGTTGCTGCTGGATTTGCTGTTGCTGGAATTGTTGCCTAAGGACACGCAGCTTCTTCTTTTCGTCGAATCAGGTGACTCTGCTGGACTGTATTGCGTCGACAGAGGATTCAAGATTGCAGACGATGGTTTCGTTTCAGCTGTGGAGTTTGATGTCACCGAAGTAGCGCTACTACTTTCACCTGCATTATATATGCATTGTAATAACGTAATAAATAATATACATAATTATGGACATGACGAAAAATTACGTATTGGAGAATTATGAGAAATAGACGAACCTCCGTTGATACCGGGCCTCAGACTTCGTTGATTAGCCGAGTGTTCCTCGAGTAGCCTGACCACAGTGTCATGGCCACTTTTGGCAGCAACCTTGATAGCGTTTCGGCCACAATGATCAGAATGACTGGGATCAGCACCGTGATTTAAGAGTGCTCGTACGCAGTGCTCATGACCCTCTTGTGCGGCGATACCTAATGAATGTTGATCAGTTTAATTACTTTCTTATATAAATACAACAATGGTGATAGTCAAGTATGTGAGAAAAAAGTCATGTTACTGATCAAACTTCGGTCATTATCAGTACCCAGAGCTGTTGCGCCTTGGTTGCAAGTATGATCAGGGGTTGCTCCATGTTCCAGAAGCAGCCTGACAATGGCTGCGTGACCCTGCCAGGCAGCAGAGTGTAAAGGAGTTCTTTTCTCATTGTCACAGGCGTTTACGCTCGCACTGCCTTCTGTTAGCAACAAAGCTACCATTTCGACGTGTCCTTGCCAAGCACTCACATGCAAAGGTGTTCGACCCTGGAAAATCACATTAAATTTACAAGCATATACAAAGCAACTAAAGAGATACAAGAATTCTTATACTTACTTCTGAGTCTCTACTTTCCACGTCAGCTCGCGCATGCTCCAGCAAGAATCGCGCCATCGCCAGTCTGTTCTCCAGAGCAAGGATATAAAGAGTGCTTCTTCCATCGGCATCTTTCGCATTAACGTCTGCATTGTGACTCAATAGTACCCTGACGGTGTCATAATGCCCCTCC